TACTTTTGGTACGACACTCGTTTTCGGAGTGTCCAAACCGTCCACAAAATGAACACCGTTTGTTATTGAAGCCGGCCGCGTGGGAGTGCGGGCGCCGGCGACAGTTATCCAGATTAAGACCTGGCATGCGACAATGAGTGCAGTATTTAGCATGAGAAGTACCTGGACCTGAGCTATGATAGGGAGAGCGCCGGCGACACTGAGAAATTTTATGGCCGATACGTTTACAGTAAGTACAAAAAATACTACTAGTGTTACGTAAAGATTTAGCATGAAATTTGTTTAATGCATAATGTTTATCGTAATATTTATTTTCAACGTCGGGTAATGTGACCTGCTCTACCGGAGCCATATCTACATCAAAAAGTTTGCGACGCATTAAGCGCTGTAGTTCAAACACTGTGTTACAATCTGATAGAAACTCCTCCGGCGTCTTGGATTTCATCGGTAAAACCTTCTCGAGAAGGTCACCGTGCAGCCCTCTGGTTAGATGATCGACTTTCTCGCTATCATCCATCATTGGATTCACTGAGTTACACATGTACAGAACATCATTAACGTAGTCTGTTACATTTTCGTTTTCTTTTATTTTTCTATTGCGTAGCTGTCGTTTCATGTTTTTAATAAAATCTAGGGGACGGAATTGATTTGTGAGAGCTGCCTCCAAGAGATCCCGATCATCGGCCGTGCCGACGTCGTTCGCTCGTAGTTTAATATACCAACTACGAGCGAAAGATTCGACGTACATAGGAAAACGTTTGCACTTTTTCTCACTCGACCAATCATTAGCAAAGGCTGTTAAATTGAAGTGTTCAAGCCAAGCAGTAACATTTTCGCCTGCCTTTCCACCAAATCTTGAAATTTCTACCGTTGTTCCCAGGCCCGTACGCTCAAGCGCGCGGGTCAACGCGTCAATCTCTACAACATCGGCGTAGCGCACCGCACCAATCCGGCCTGCAGAGATGGGGTGATCATCACCTGGCAGGCCGGCCCGACTATAGACGCGTACTCTGTCGTTTGATGTAGGATGCGGCGTAGGCGCACGATGCTGATCCGGATCAACCGACCGTTCGCGGCGATCTTGATTCTCGATTTCTTCCATTCGTTTGCGAAAAGATGATCGCAAATTGTTAAAAGTGTCTTTCAGAGTATCTCTGATCATTTAGCTACCCGGCTCGTGGAGGGCGTCTATTTGAAGTCTGATATATTTTTTGATTGTAAAAATTATTTTTATCCGATACTTACTATGTACGCCTGCTGGTAAACGTAGTTTACACGCCTATAGTAAGCCGACCTACGGAGCACGGAAAACCCAACCCTGTAAGCTAGATCAGCGTGAACGCCGCAGAAATGCGGCATAAACTAGGCGCGTTGATCAGCACACCGGAGCGCTTGTGTCGGGAACAGCGGTGGGTATTGCGCGGCTATTAAAAGCGACTGAACTTGGTTCAAACCGGATACCTCGTATAATTGCTAGTGATAGCGCTGAAGGACTGTATGATGCACAAAAATGTAATAACTGACGTTAATGATGCTTTTATGCCTGGGAAAATCTAAGTATCCTGACGGCTGGGATGCCTTCAGTAGATCTGTGAGTACTGATATTACTACCTAATATATGCAAGGAATGCTAATTGACAAAAATTATTAAAAGGGAAAAGACCAGGGAACTTTTGGAGAGGTAATAACAGGGCAAAGAAAAGTATACAGTAGTCTAGAAGATTTATGACATGGGAAACGACTGCTTCTGAAGATTTTATGATGCTATTAAGTGAGCGGTCGAACTGGACGCAGGTGGATAATAGCTAGATAATGGGAAGATATCTTGATGGGAAAAATGCTAACGACCCTGAGCAGGTGCAATTATAAAGGCGAAATGCAAAAAGTGCAATCAAGCCGTGCCACCAATTATTTATGCGGAATGTGCCTGAACCGGCCGGGGTGCGGCCGACTAAGTCCTGCTTTAAGGTCACCAAAGTTGATACAAACTATCTATTCTTGCTTGAAACACTAAGAAAAGAAATGTTTTTGTGTCGTTTGTGAATTTATTTAGTTGTAATGCGTTGATTGAAATTAAGTGTGCAAGTGACAGATAGCTGCCGTTTATACGCCCATACATGTAAATAACAGTGAATTATTCTCAATGCACAGTAGAGTATGCAATATCACACTGGAGTACTTGGCATATACAGAGCACAAAGTAATCGTGTACAATTTAGAGTAATAATTCACGAATACTGTTTAACCGCAACGTTAGTCTGGTAACTGGAGAGTTCACTTTATAATTAGATGAAAAAGTATATAAGTTATGTATTAAATATGTACTATGTAAGTATTAGTACCGATTAGTAGTGCTAAGATTGTAAAGTTAGCAAACGAATTAACTAATATTGAAGGTCAGCAACAACACACGTTTTTTACTAGTACGGCACAGCGCAGTCGGAACACAGGTGCAACTAATCGCAAAAGACTTTTTTTTTATTTTGTTCAGAAACTAGGTAGTAAGTAAGTAGAGACATTATATCACCTGAATAATAATACTATTGTAATGTATACGAGGAGGGGGTAAATACACGGGATAGACAGAAAAAAAGGCAATAATAAGGGATAACCATTCAGGTGTTGTGCAGCATGGCCAGCCGCCAAGGGAAGGCAGTCCAGCGACACTGCACAAAATTCATGTTTTGAGACCCGTAGCTGCCTTCTCCGTAGACTCCTATGTTATACTCAAACACCTGCGTCTTGGACATTTCAGAATCAAACCGTGCAATCTATATCTTAAAAGAACAAGAAATAATTAACAAGATTTTCGATACCACGCAAGCCGTGATTTATAAGAACAAGACAAGTTAGAGCCAATTAAGTTTCCCATAGAAAAGCATAGGAGCTCCGTGAAAACAAATCATCCAGCTGCTATGCTTAGTCTACGAGAAACTCAAATGGCTCAGACTTGCCTCAGTTTTAATAAGTGGCGAGTTGTTTGGTATCAAAAATCTTGTGAATTTTTTCTTGTTCTTTTGGGCTATCGATTGTGCGGATTAGTTCTGAAATGTGCAAGACGAAGGTGGTTGAGTTTAACATAGAAGTCTACGGAGAAACAGCTAGAGACTGGTGTTTCAACGGCTGTTCTGGACTGTGTCACTAGAACTGCCTTCCCTTGGTGGCTGGCCGTGTTGCACAACACGTGAACGGTTATCCCTCATTATTGCCGTTTTTTCTGTCTATCCCGTGTATTTACCCTCTCCTCGTACTCGTAGTAATTGTTATGCCGGTAACAGTAGTACTTTAATATTGTATCAATAGAGATAAAGTTATTATTGAATATGCAGTAGTATGTACGTAGTAGATATGATAATAACAAATAAGAGTAAAAGTGGTGACACTAAGCGTATTAATTACGGTGTATAACGGGTATGCAACTTGTAGATAAGTAATATATAAATATGACTTCCTCGAATTCCGATGCGTTAGTTTTTTTGAGAGATTTTACGGTGCAATTTGTAATTACCTGACGGCTGTGGTCGGTGAAAACGTCGAACGTGCGCCGCTAGAGCCGGAAAGTGGGAGATGCAGGGGAGAGGAGGATCCGGATGATCAGGCCGGATGCAGAAAGTGGGAAAGCGAGGGTTTGGGGAGAGCGATTGGCAAAAGATGCGTAGGCGGCAGTTCGGGATGGGACGCAATGCGTCGTCGTAACAAACGTCGCTGCACGGTAAAGGTCAACGTCGTGTCAAACGGGACTCGGCACCAAATGTAGCGTATTGGCTACTAACTGTATGAATCGTTATGCAATCGAACGGCGAATTCTCAATTGTACTCGTATTTATTCGGAAATTGCAATTCGGAAAGTCGGAAAGTTGGAAGTGAGTAAAGCTTCCTCTGACCAGTGGCCAGCTCAACACATGCACACTAAGAAATGTTCAAGGAATGCCCAAAGGCGATTCTAGTGAATGTCCACACCTTTGCTCAGAAGATGCACAAATAGGAAAACAGGAATAACCATTAGCTGTACTCGTATGAATATACACGTATACACACAGAATGTGCCGATTTTAACGTACAAGCGTTACAATATAATGGGCTTTTTTCTGTGTAGGGATTTTTATTAGTACGTAATTAATTGGTAGGAAAATCAAGGAAATTGCTGCTGTTGCTTTTCACGTGACCACGTAGCCACGCCTTTCGCCTGGACTTAATTCGATCGAAGCGGCTCATTGAGACCGAATTTTTTTGGAAGGTACGGCATATTCTCTACCCTAACAGTTTCGCCTAGCCCGGCTGCCGTCGAATATGCGTATAATAAGAGACAACATCGAGCGACGCCAAACGCATGACCCAGAGGCTGGAGTATCCGCAGATTGGTGACCTTTTCTCTAATCACCTCTTCACTGTATTCCAGAAAATATCTTTATCCCGCGGTATTTTGTTTCATATGAGCCAAAGGTTTTCTTTGTTGGTTCCCCTGAAGGACGGATATTCCAGTAAATATGCATTTGATAATTGGCAACATTTTGAATCCTGATCAGCACGTCTGCACGTTTAACGCATCGTCGGCACTACCCGTGCATGACCAGTTGCTCCGGTGGATAAGAGTATAATTACAAAGGGTGATTTCGCAATATGCTTCCGCTTTCTTTATGAATTTATTGCAATCATCTCCGTGCATGTTTTATTTCCGAGACATTATGTATGGAAGCCCTTCGTCTTAGCTATCATCACAAATTAATTTAATTTTTAGAAATAGAAAACAATTTAGAATACAGTGGAATTTTGCAAAATCGACATGGGTCTGTGCGCCACAATAAACAAATTTTTCGTCCGTGTGTGCTGGAAGCATATTGCGAAATCACCCTCTGTATATATATCAACATGGTAGGCACGCAAAATGACTCGTTAGATTGGCTAACTTGTTTTCGCCGAATGATAGAGGCGATCGAATGCCGACCATCCCGTAGTATAAGTACGAGTATTTTGCCTCCGTGATCAAAACACTTCGCGCTCCACGCTTTGAGACAACAAGGAACTGAAGGACGCATTCGTTTGCAACATATTTCAGTTCTCTTTGAACGCCAAAAATTAACTTAAAGACACAAAGTTGCAGTAACAAAGACCTCGTACAACAAACAGAAGCAAGTAATTCTCACGCTTAACAAGATAATTTTAACGATTAATGAAGTTCAAACAACCACGCTATGCCAATTTCACTTTCTAAATACAGAAAGAAGCCATTCCTTCGACAGTTTCTTTAGTCTACATGCCCGTATATGCAAACGTTTGAAGGTTCCGTATGACGTGACAGCATTATCTGCACCTGCTGTAGAATTCGGCATAGACGTTAACGTTGTGTCTGGATTAACTGGAAAGCTTGCTGCAGTGCCTGAATCAGCCGATGAATACGATGCCGGTAACATAAGAATCATGGACTGCAACACTAGTTTTCCTAATTGTAAGGGAATTGTCTCTGGATTGCGCACTTGGAAGCGTAGGGCGTGGATATCTTCTGGAAACGGTAACTGCCATCTGCGAACAAATAAACCAGTTTGTTATTTTGCCATGAAGTGCAGTATCTTAGTGTCCGGGTGCGGTAATATAGTATATCTTAGTGAACGTCCCGAACACTTGCTGTCCAGTGCTTTCTTTCGTCCAGTGCTTTCTTCCGCTTCATCGGAACATTGAACTGCGTCGGCACATTCGAACATGCGTGCTGCGCTTTATCAAACAATCGCAGCAACAATGTGATAAGAACATAAATCTTGCTAGACTCACATCCAAAAGGGCACACACAGCCACGCCCAGCTATACGGGCCGTCCCTCAGCTCTTCGTCCGTCAATGTGTCCAGCCAGCTCATTAGCGTATCAAATTGGCACTCGGTGACCTTTGGACAGAATTTTTCCAACATCGCACAAATAGCATATTCGAAGCTTTCCTGAGTTGGTTGCGGAAAACTGTACGACCAACAAGGGATGTGGATAAACAATGGATTGCGGGAGCAGTTCAATTTCCAATGAGCGTCGTCGTAATTAGGTTCTAGTTTCCTGTTTGGCACTTTGTAGCAAATTGAATATGAACTGTCGAATAAACAGTTTTTGAGAACGATACGGTGGCAAATTTGGTTAAAAGCGAGTGGGGTCAGCACATCGCAATTCCAGATCAGTCTTTCGTTTGGAACATTGATAAACTTATCCAGAAAAAATTCTTTATCGTGAGCTATTACAAACCAGTCGAGTTTCCTGTGGAAAACACCCAGGAAGTCAAACATCGAGTAACCCCAACGACATGTTAGATATATTATGCTTAAGTCGTCGGCTAATGCGTGCGATAAATCGTAGTTCAGCATAAACCCATCCTCATGCAAGCCATAATCAGTGGAAGAGCTCCTATGCTTTTTAGAGTAGCGGGGGTAATGATCAGGAATAATGGCGCACTTTCGTAGAAATTTGGAGGATAACAAATCCACAAATACTTTTCCAACCCTTTGTAAAAAAAAGAAGTAAATGCCTTTTTTGCTACTAATAAGCACGCTTATATTAATAACGTTTTTGCGCAAACAATAGGCAACCGACAGTTTTGGCACGAACCCTTTACCCGTCTTTTCAATACATCGAAACCGAATTAATTTCATTAATTTTATAAATACTTAACTGATATTCTTAAAATTCGTTCAGCGGCGTTTGCATTAAAACAATAAATAAACAAAGCTGTTTTTGCAATAAAAAGGTTTATATATTATGCCAGCGGAAGAAATTATTCACTTGGTTCCATAGTACAGTACGGATTAGTGCCCCTCCCGACTTAGAGGTTAAATTCGCCTACGGCTTTTGCCGTAATGGTTTTTGTAATGGTAATATTTCTGCATTAGAGAAGCGAGAATGTCGGCCTCGCAAAAGCATGGCAAACTAAACGCCAGTATATGGTATACCATGGCAGATGTAATTCGTCTGACCAGAATCGTGCCGACATATTGCAGCAATCGATCAAACCCACAAGTTCACCTTGAAACTTCTAGAAATTTCAACTTATTTGGAGCATCATTACACTTCACACTTAAATTCTTTACCTTACACTTAAATTCTTATGTACCTAAAAGTATAATGGTATCAATAATGTGGCCTATGTAAGGTAGTGTGTACAATATGCCGTATGTGCTGTATCGGGAACCGGAAGTACGAATCTTTATTGAATCGTAACAAATCGCAACTGAGCATGAATCACAATTGCAGGGAGTACATCATATCGTTGGTACTTGGTAGGTAGGTAACACAGAATCTCGAGAATCTCGTGACGTACATGTCGTACGTACACTCGTACATCATAAAAATTTAATGTGGAAACATGAATTTTGTACAATATGATTGTATCATCATATTGTATGTACAACATAAACTTTCGCGCACCCCCAAGAACATTTTTGAATTTTTCCTCTCGTCTATACTTTTAGTCAAATGATTTGTTAACAATGATTTGAAAACCGTTTATGCGCGCAACTTCCGGTTGGGGAGTTACATGTAAAACAAAATTCCAAAAGATTAAACGCACAGAAGTGCACACCAGAAAAAGACTTATTATAAACCGATCCTTTCGAATTCTGCATGGACGCACGATTACCACAAAGATCTATTTTACACCGCACCAGGTTTCCACCATTTTTTTTTTAAATTTTGTCGCTTTTCAAATTCATTGTACAGTTTGAAAATCACCGTTTTTTCAAATTCTGAAACAGTTTACATAATTTTGTTTCCAGTTTTTGAAATAATTTTTCCAGTTTTTTTATAAAAGCGATCTGCATGATTACATGCGTTTTAATGCAAAATCTAAAGAGGAGCGATTTATAATGAGACTTTTGTTACTCCTCCGTGCATTTCCCTCTTGGAATTTTATTTCATCCATAACTCCCAATTGGATACTGTATACAGTTCAGTTGACTATAATATTTTGGATACACTAATGCAGAAAAGGGTTTGGGATTGCGCGTAGTGGAAGCTTTTGCATATGTATGTGCACAAGAATTTGGCACCATATACCGACACACTTTCCTTAAATTATATTGTTGCAGTGCATGAAACTTCTTGCGAAACCTGCATCTTGGATACGAAATGTTACGCTTATGAATTGTTGCGCTCACAAGCGCTATACTTTATATACGTATAATGCAGCGGTCATGAATGTAAGCGGTGAAAATACGTTACGCTGTAAAATGTCATGTGACGGTCACCACAATATGCACTTCATTAATATTAAAGAAATTGCCGGCATAGCGGCAAACGCTGAAAAGGTTCGACAGGTAACGTACCACACCAATGTAATCTCAAGGTTAGTAAGGAATATCTATATTCATATTCCAAGCTTCGCCTACGTACTTATAGTTACATAGTTTCTACGTTAGTTTATTCGGTTTTTACGATTTTTTTGTATTAGTTTCTTCAGCCTACGTACTCATGATTAATTTTAACCTTTAAAAAAAAAACAGAAAACAAACAGAAACACATAATTTGGCGAATGAAGCGTATCATTATCCTGCTTGATGCCGACTGCTAAGAGAGACTGTACTTAAAATCAACATGAAACGTTGTTAAGTAAAAATTCAATCAGATGTATATGACCTTGTTCAGTGTCCGAAAGTTACTGCACTTGCGCAAGCTACGATGATGAGCACTTTCAAAATTGAATAAGTAATGCTGGTTGTACCTTTTAAAATAATGCTGGTTGTAAATATCCAATTCCGACAGGATTAACAAGTGCAGTTCCAAAGGCATTTGCATGAACGAAGGCTCGCCGTGAACCTTCAGCACTGAAAATTAAATATCTATATGTGCGAATATCATGAAATGTTGACAAACAAGCTAAGGTTATCCACTGGACAGTAGCACAGTACTAGGATAAAAGCTCAAACATCACCGCAGACGGCAGACGTGATACTGACTTTTGTACTTTATCATTGCATGCTTCTGTAGTCAAGAAATAATATTATTGCGCATTAATCAAGTACAGTAATTCGTATCTGTATGAGTACCTGTACGAGTACTGCATGTATAATTGTGTACTTACAATATGAATGTATTCATATAGCACCGCAGACTATTATTATTATTGTTATTATTACATCAGGAGCAGACAACCCGCTAAACGGGACTTCAACGTCTGGTCGGCAAAAAGCTAAACAAATGAGAATTGCTAAGACGGTAGATAATTATGGATACGATCCTGTGTGTGGCATAGTACGTACCTTCGCTTTCCGCTGCTATGACCAAGCCGTTTAACACATTCCTTGTGGCCAGATAAACCTTTTTAAGATATTCTTCTGAAAACCAAGTTAACGCTCTCAGAATTCGAAACACTCCAGGGTGCTTTTCGGTCTGCAACAATGTTTTCAGTTCTTTTATATTTAAGTGCGAGTAGCCTTCAAAAAGGACGGTAATACTGTGACGGTCGGAGTTCAGAAACATTGTTCCGGTCATGTACAACCATTCACTTCCGAACCATGGAAAACGTTTCGCCTTTCGAATAACCTCTTCCGGATATGGAAACTGTTCACTCGGTTCAAACATTGGCATCTGAACTTGACGGAACGTGTCGGCCGTAACGGGCGTACCTTGCAACCCGAGTCTGCGGAGATTTTGGGAAACGATACTAGAACCGCTCATAATGTTAAGCGTTGTTGGTTTTGAAGTAGCGTGAGGGCCGCATAATTCCACTTTTGCCATGGCATACTCCGAATACGATGGACTATACGATGGATTATACGATGGACTTCTTTTGATTTTCAAAATGCGCGCTTGCTGCCACGACTCAGGCTGGTTTTCGTTGAGACTGAGTAAAATTTCCACATTTTTATCGTCGTCAGACAGCGAAAGAGTTTCCATACATGGATGCGGCTTAGTTATTCGATTGAAGGGAACATACTGGATTTTTTCGAGGGAACCAAGTCTGATGCACAATTCCTTTTTCCCAGCTGTGCCGCATACATAGCCACGGCAAACGGAACCATTTTCTGTTTTCACGTCCACGACAAACGGATCATAAAGCGCATTGGCGTATATGGGTCTGTGAGCGGGCAGCACCAATACGCCGTCCATTTTGGAGAATGATTATCGAGCAACACAAAATAGCGTTGAGCGTTAATTTGGATCCCGTTGTCAGGATCCCGGAGTCTAACCGACTGTATTAGTAACTGCACATTGTATTGAACGTGTACAATACACGTAAATTTATAAGTTAATGGGAAATTGCAATGGAACAGCAGATACCGAAGATGTAGAGTGATGGCAGAAACGTGATTCGTAAAGACAATTGCTGCTTGGATACATACATATATTAAGTATAAGTATCATAAAACAGAAATGTTATTATCTAACTATTGCTAACTATACATATAAGTACGCGACGCAAAGCCGCACGCGTGAAAGTTTTACTGGTGTACCGACGGTCTATCGTTTTCGAGCTAGCTTACATTTTGCTAATATTATTGCAAAAATAATATGATTTCTCAACTGTCACCGAGACACATCCGGCGCCTGAAAGCTTGAAGGTTCCCATTGCACGATCATAACAGATTGATAGCGCGAATAACTACTCGGTAAAGTATTGCAGAAGCACGCCGTCCGTGCGCACTGCGCAGTACTTACTGTAAGTACATACATGTGTGGTTAAGGGAAGTTGCCCGGGCACATAGCACGGGAACATTTCAAGGACTCGTGTAAACTGACTGGATTTGATTTCTCTGTCCAGCTCTCTCAGACACTTTTGATTGTTTTATGACATTCGGCACTCCCCTAAACTGGACACTGCACTGCTTTAAAAATTAAAAATTTTGCACTCGTATGGCTAAGTGACAAAGTTTAGAAATTCGTAACTAGAGCTTGAGAAGTTAAAAACTTAAAAGTAAGTAAAATTAAATAAAATTATTAAATTAATGAAAATCGCTCATATGACATTAATTTGTGTCACTTTGCTTTTCAAATTGAAATCTGCATCAAATGAATCCGTGCGTTGTCTGTCTGTCAACGGTTTGTGATCTTGGATATTAGTTTCCGGTTGGCTGCTAACTGAGTACCTACATAGTTGAGTTCTTATTATTATAATTATTTGAGCTGTGGTATTAGCTGTGGTCTGCTGTGTTGTATCACTCATGCATAATTATAACTTTTTTCTTTGATGCAGGGAGTGGTTTTTCATCTGTTTTAATCGTGCCGGTTGATGTTTTTTGCATACACATTCTTGAGCATGTGTCTCTTTTATGGCCAGCAGTAACGTTAACAATAAAACAGAAGATTAGTTCGTGAATGGTGGATATTCCAGCATAATTCCTGCTGTTCTGTAGTACTGTAAACAACGAAGAATTTCCACAAAATATCGCAAGTTTTCATACTTAATTAACTTGATCAAAATGTACAAGAATACTACGCAAACAAATACCGTACGGGCAGATGAAAATCACAGTTCGTCTTTTCTAACGTCATCAGGGACGTCACTAATTTTGTAAACCTTAACAAAATCATCACAAGATTTGGCAAAAGCAGTATAATATTCATCGGATTCTATCTCGGCATCTGAACTGGCTTTCTGCCGAAAAAATACACACAAAAACTGGATCTTCTCCCAGTTGGCCTTGAAAATCGGCTGACATGTTGTGCCGTGCAGATGCAGGGCATTATGGGCTTCCGATGCATCAAACTGCCGGTCTGCAGAAGCAAATACATCCACCAGGGATTCACACCATCCACTGCTGGCTAATCGGCTTTCCAGAGGGATTTCGCCGTACTGACGCGCCCGTTCACGCTGCAAATCGTCGGACTGTTTGGTTGCATCAGGAAGCCCAGCATTCATCTACAATTAAAGAAACAATCAGCTAACTGTTAACACCAAACTGGCAACGAACACGAAAAGTAACATAACAAAAACTCATAACGGATATGAAATCAAAACGGTGAGACGAGTACTTTGACTGAAGCAAAGACAGCCGTCAAACTTTATGCAATTCGCAATGATTTCTGTGATCTAAAAACGGTACACCATCATAAACTCCCGAGCTAATCCTAGTATGTTAATTAAAAAAAAATAACTGACTCTTTGAATCATCCAGCCGTCTTGAACAACTAAAACTATTTCAAGAAAAACTTATGTGAATAAAACGAAACACAAAACAGCAACCAATTATTATTAATAATGTTAACTTTATTTTGCTTTTATGACAGCGAATTAGCAAGCGAAATGTTTCGTCCACTAGGATCAAAACAGAAAGCGCGCGTTCAAAACCTACCCGCTCCATAAGCAGATCATTGAAGAACGCCATCACTTTCCGCTGCAACTTGGGCGTCTCACGGCTATTCCGCATAACGTGTACCAATTCCGCCACACCATTCGCGGCAACAAAACGCTTCTGTGCCAGCGGAAAATGCCGCACCAACGCTGATACAGCGTACAAGAAACGAGCCAGCGTTTGTTCGCCTGGAGCGGAGAGTTTCTCGGCATGCGAAAGCGAGTGAATCCCCTTCAGAAGGATCTCCAGCAAACCCTCCTCCAAAACAGCAATCTGCACTTTGGCATTGCTCTGCGCAGCCGATCCCAGGATGTGGGCGGATTCGGCACGGATGAGAGGTTCGTGTTCGGTCATCAGCAGGAAGGGCTTCAGGATGCGCAGGCCTTTCATATCGACAAAATCCCGGGCGTTGTCCACTTGATGCACTAGATATTCCACATCCTGCATGAAAGGCAAAATATAATAAGGTTGCTATGTATTAAATGCATTAATCGTCGAAGATCGACCATAATAATTGTTAGCCCTACGATGCAACAGTGACAATACGTTAACCATTCTTGGAGTAAAATAAACTTATATATTTGTACGAATTAACGATAAACAATTTCCCGCAAAAATCGAAAAATGGAAAAATTTATAATTGTAGAAAAATCGTAGTGGATAAAAACCTTCAACTGACAAAATGGATAAAAACAAATTATTATTAAAATAAAAATATCGAACGCATAAAACGAGCACTGAGCGCCATATAATAATAAATAAGGTAAAATATTCTGAGCTCTCGAAAATTAATGTTTGTGACTGATGGTGATAATAAAATTTCGTGGTATATTTGTAGTCTGTACCTATAAAATAATAAAACACAAATTTCTTGACATCACTTCTCTAAATAATATGTCGTGGAACACGGTACACAGTACACTGAGTATTATGATAAGTTATAAATTTTGGTTTTAAGCCTTTATTTTAAGTACCCACACACACCGTTTCCTACTGGATTTTACCTGCAGAACATTGATCAGCTTATCCTTCTCTGCTGCTTCTCTGTCGCGCTGCATCACCGTCAATTGCTGCACCAATTCCTTCAAAATCTCCCGATCCGTCTTGATAGCCAGATTCATCTCCGCAAACTCCTTCTTTAATTCCTCCATACTGCGAAACTGCTTCTTGACCCTCTCCGCGTCTTCTCCCTCCTTTCCCTGAGTATCCTCAGCATCCAGCTGCTTGTTAATACCTTCCAAAGTCCGCTGCAGTTCGTCGCGGAGCAGCGTCCGTGAGGACGTGTCGTCCTTCTGCGCTCCAAGATACAGCCGTTCCTCTGCGGAGAACGCCGCCACCTCGTGGGCAGCGGGCTCCGCGGGATCCATAAGTTTGGCATGACGCTGTCCGCTGGCCAGATCCAGACGAACGTGCAGACCAGCGGGGATGGACTGGCTCTCCCGAATGGGCTGCCATTCGCGGGTGGCGATGAAGGGCTCGCTGGAAGATGGACTGGTGATTGCGCCAGGTGGGGGAGAATGAGACTCCTGCCCAGTACGATTGTTACGCTGGAGGTGGGTTCGCTGCGGATAATACAGAATATCCCGCACAGGATCGCGAGATAAATTGGTAATATCTGCAGCATGGTGGTACAATTTGCACTTGAACTTGTCCCGCACTTCGGGTGAGCTTCCGCAAAGGCTAACGTTAAACAGCCAAAAAGTTACTTCAGTTTACTGATAGAAGTATTCAATATTCAGCTTGAAAATAAAATTTTCGTTGCAAAAAGAAAAAGATTTGATTTAAGAATAAATTTTCTGACTGAAATGCTGTTCGAGCGGGTTTTTGTAGGCACCGTAAAGCTGTATGTATATGTAAAACTTAAAACTTCAAAAAGTGTTAACCATCGACTGCGGCTAATCACTGTATTAGTAAGTAGTCTGCGGTGGCGCGTCACGATTGGACGGTGTCATTGCGGTGAGACTTTGAACGATCTCGACTATACTACTACAGTAATTTTTTACCTGAATTGCGTGACGGTTTTACTTATATTGATGAAATTATGAAATCCGTTTTGAAACTTCCCAAAAAAGTGTGCCGTTAAAATTTTTTTGAAAATGTGTTTTACTGTGACAATTTGACAACAAATGATATTACAGTCGCTAGCGTATCAAACAGCTTTCAGGAGACTTACCGTCACTTACGTAGCACAGTGGCATCGGAGTAGGCGATACGCGACAGATCTAACTGATGGACGCGGGCGGCCGTAACCAGAACAGCTTGTAAGTTGCGCCTTGCAGTTCGTCTCGCTACGCCACAAGTGGCAAAGCAGCTTGTGCCTTGTGGGCTGTGCGGTCCAACGAATGCGTGCAACTTGTCCCTTGTGTACTTTCGGAATTCTCCAAGCAGCGAGTTTTCTTCGATTTGAAAATCGAAAACTTCATTTTTTCGCAGCTTCAATTTGGTCAGTAATCTCCTCACCTGCTGGAGATTACTCCGGTTATCTGACAATTCGCATTGTATACAGTTTATTTGTACGTGTTAACGGGTGCGTGGTCGTGAAGTTTCGTGGAGTCAGGAGCTTCGACGCCATATTGCCTATTGGGACAAGTCTCCATAAGTGAGAATCGAGAACTAAATCAGCGGACAAATCAGTCCACTATCACTATGGCATATAATGCATCACAGCTGGAGTCCTGGGGACATTACCGTGACGGAGGAGGATCATATTATGAGAACATCGCGTCCACCGTGAAGCCTTCCCAGTCCAGTCATTCGAGGATCCAAGGCTATGTGGAGCCCTCACGAACCAGTACGTTCTCTCAGCTTTCTCTCTCGCTGGGTGCTGCTATCAGTTCTTACAGTTAATATTTCTATTTTTATGGTATATCCTAGTTACCTGGTATTATAATGAATGCAGTTTTGTTCGAAGGATGAAAACTTATTAAATACATTAAAATACTGTTCAAACTTGGCTTGGTTGGTTGCATCTGCATTATGCATATGAATATCAGTTGTGAAGTTGCGATCGTCACCCAGGAAGGCAAGCACCATACTGGCAGCTCTTCGTTATTTTATACTTCCTTTCTTTGGATTTCCATTTTTAAAAAATTACAAAATTTTTGATAATTTGTGGGAATATTTTTGGACCAGTTTTTGTCGAGTTCTCTCGAGATTTCTTAATTATAGGAATTTTTTTATTTTCAGTTTATTCACAGTTTATTATTTAAATTTTTCGAATTTATTATTTAACTTTTTAATTAAATTATTCGATGATTTTCTGCCCGGTGGGAGCTGGGAGTTTGAAATCTTCGCGGTGTGTAATACCAACTTGTAATCACGTGTACGCAGGGAACGGCGACGGCTATCAGCGCGAAGCCTACCACCCCGAGAACGTGGCGCAGCATCAGCGCGAACTGGATGCCTGGTCGCGCGGCGGCGGCGGCGGCGGCCCATCCACCGCCGCCCCCCGCAGCGGCAAGGAGTGGTACGGCGATGCGTCCTACAACGCACCAGCGTTGCCGATGGCCGGCCACACCACCCACGCCGACGAATACAACCCCTACGGGTCGCGCACCGTCGCTCTGAAAGCGGATTTCCAGAACCGCCGTCCGCGCTCTCGCTCGGTCTCACCGCAGTCCAAACGACAGCGACAGGACAGCACCGCACAATACGGATACGGGGGACGCGGGGGACAGGAGAAGGCGGAGTACGGAAGCGGTTGGAATGAGGCCGGGGGGTATGGAGGGGCCGCGGGAGGGTACGAGCGACAGATGCAACGCACCGCTCCTCATGGGTGAGTAGTTTGTCATATCTGATGGGATAGTTTTGGTCGTAGGTTTTGCCGCGTTGCTTTTCAACCTGCTTTCAAAAGGCTAAAATATTATTTAAAATCGAGGAACTTTTTTTTAATTTTTACGGTTTTCTTTCTGGCATTTCATTTACAGTACTATCGAACTTTAAATGCTTTTTTATTTTCTAGTGTATTAGTTTTAATTTGTGAAACTAGTTGTGATTGGATCATAACAATTTTTTATGTATAGGATGATTTTTCTTTTTGGGCTGTCTGCTTTTTAGTGGCCGATTTATAATTTTATTAGTACAGCACTTCCGACGAAGTAGGGTTTTTGTGTGTGATAACAACAGATTTAGGTATCATTGGTTTAATCATTTTAAATGACCGACTAGCAATTATCACACGATCCAGTAATAAAAAATTTTTTGATTGTTGGATTTCTTTTCAGTGGTTCAATGCGGGACAGTAGCAACCAGCGCAGCTCCTCCCAGTACTACCAGGCCACCCCCGCTGCCGCCGCAACCCAGGCATCGCCCACTCGATTCCGTGGCAGCAACGCCCAGTTAGGAGTGCAGGCCAGTCCTTACAGCTACAACACCGGGGCGGCTGCCTCCACTTCATATTATCCAACCACCACGTACTTCACCCAGCGCTCGCCCACCAACATTCGCCCGGCCCGTATCGGCCGCCCCGTCATCCAGCAGAACATTCGTCGCGATCTGAACGCACCCAGTCGATCTCCGGTCAAGCCGGCACCCCCGCCCCGTCGGGAGGTGAAGCCACCACCGCCGGTCAAGAAATCCACCACCAGCTCGTCGACATACAAACCGGCCCCGAAAACGTCGACAACCGCAGGAAAACGTCGGAGCCGTCGTCCGGATCCTCATCCAAGTCGGAGGCGAAGAAGGAGCGACTGCGGAGACGCGCCGCCAAACGGCGCGAGAGCAAAAGGCCGAGGAGGCTACTTCCGGTGGGAAGACGACAGCGCCGAATAATATGCGGAGACCGAGCGATAAAGTGCCGGCGGATACGAGCACACCGGATGTGATCATTCTGAAGACATCCAAGAAGGAGGGGGAGGCCAAGGGCGGAAAGGGTGCGGGAGCGGGAAAACCGAAACCGGGATTCTTCTCGCGAGTGCTGACTAAGACGGATGGCGTGGCGACAGCGACGAAGGAGGGGGAGTCAGCGAGCGGCCAGACTGCCGAATCAAGTAAGTAATTGTACAATCAATCGGCATAGTCGGTGTTTTCTGCTGTGAAACGAAAGTCAAAAAATATTTTTTTACGAATTTCCGTGGGCTAGTCTGAAGCATTACCGTCTATACGTTTAAGTCATTTTTTACCGCTTTTCATAATAAAATTGAAAGCTTTCTTAGCATAAATGAAAGCATAAATGAAAACTTTCTTAGCAGTTTTTAAATATTTTCTGAACTGTTGATATCTACAATTTTGCTTCGATATTTTAATGATGTAAAACCAAATTTCAAAAATTGTTTTCCATGATTTCAGTGGGATAGTCTGAGTTGACCATTTTTCCTGTATCTTATTTTATTGTTTCGCAACGAAATTGAAAAATTCAGGAACAATTTACGAATATTTTTAGAATGATTGACATCCACAATTTTACCCGATTTTTTATTTTATGTAAAATCAAATGGCAAAATCGTTTCATTGATTCAGACGGATAGTCTGAAGTGCCCCATTTTTATTTTATTAATGTGTAATGAAAGTGGAAAATTCCTGCATATAATTTTATTTGTATTTTTATTAATTTTGTAGAAGCTGTCAAACCGGTCGCCCCGCAATCATCTTCGGTCTCCGACAAGCCGACAACGTCGGCCCCCGCTGTTTTTAAAGAGCCGGTCGTTGATGTTGCCAACTTCAAAAAACCCAATGCCCCGGCCGCTGCGAAGCCCGCCGGTGTCCCCGGCGCGCCGCGACTGAAGCCCTCCCAGCTGGAATTCCACGTCACCCCGCACATGATCAAGATCAAGCACCCCTACGGCACCTGGTCGGCCTGGTCCAACCGGCAGAAGATCGCCGCCATCCGCTGGTTGAGCGCTTATCCGGAAGGGAAAGAGCCTGGTCGACTGCAGGAATGGCAGATGCCGGCCGAACAGTGGTGGCCGTACTTTGAGGACGGAGCGTGGATTGTGCCGGTGGCGCACCGGGAGACCGGGGGTGCGCCGGTTCATGAGAAGGTCGTGACAGCGGAACCGTTGCCGATTAAGGCGGCTGTGTCGGGAGTGCAGGAGAGTGTGAAAGGGGGTGAACAGGAGAAGAAGACGGAGGGCGGGGAAGAAGTGGATAACGCGAAAACAGCGGACAAAGTGGTCACTGCGACAAATGTGGAGGATGTTAAGGAGGCGGCTCCGCGGGAGAGTAGTCCGGAATTTAACACGCCTGTTGGCAACAATACGACGGGTGAGTGGAATTTCTTACGGAAGATGAATTAATGGTTATGCGAAATTGTACAAATTTATTACCAAAATTACTTGTTTTTCCTGTGGAATTTTTTTCAATGAGAAGAATCGAGCGAATACATACAGGCTCTGTATTGCTTAATATTTAAACTGAGTGGCAGAAGCAGGTTGAATATTAAGTTTTCTCATTCCAAATTTTGGAATAAACTTATTCGGTAAAATTTGACAGACTTCAGGAAGAAATATTATATTTAATGAAGAAATATTTTATTTGATTTTGGGTTAATCAGACATGCATAGTTTGTATACCGCTGAATACGGACGTATGATCAGAGGTTTACCTTTGAACCGAGTTTCTTCAGGATGATTTTGTGTTGATGGCCAGCGAATAGCGTATATCTATATAAGGGATTTTTCTGTACAGTAGATGTGGAGATGCGAAGTGGCAAAGCGGAGAAGGAGGGCAGTGGCGTGATCTCCGGAAAGGATGGCGATGAGGATGAGGATGTTGTGTTGGATTCCGCTTAAAGATTTCAGTCGTATCTAACCGGATGTTGCGTTATTTAATGGATATTAATTTAGAGAAGGGCGAATGTTGTTGATTATTACTTGTTGAATACTTGTGTGAATTATTATACTGAAATTACTTGGCTTCTAAGCAGCAGTTTAAAGCATCTCGAACTTGTAAAGGATCATGTATTTATCTTGATTGTATTATTAATTTTGTTTCTGATCGCACCGGCTTCTGGAGTCGTAGACTTGTTGGAAAATGTTTAAAAACGTTTTCATTTTGTTCAAAATTAATCGCATCTGTTTTTCTCATTTAATTATTTCCCCTTCGCAACAAAAGTCGTGGTAAGCAGAATACTGTGTACTACATAATGTTCAAAAATAAAATCGCTTCTGGTACATGCGGTCTTACATAAATGACAATTTCCTAGCGAGATGTACGCGTAAACTAATCAGTGTACAGTACAAATCGACGCCATACACGTCGTGATGCGCATTACGCAATTGACTGATACTTACAATAAATTGACATTTTTTTGCGAGCACCATCCATCGAAAATATTTAATTAAGCGCGGTGCGATTTCTCCCTGGGTCAATGATCTCGAAAACTCGTAAAGTACTTTATGTGTTGCTTCGTGTTACTTTATGTACCTTCTAAGTTCTTACTTCTTACTACTGTAATACAACGACATAACGCCATACTGCAGAGCGGCATATATTTTCAGTTTTTGCTCTAAATTGCGAGACTTTTTACATTAAGGGGGAAAGAAATTCTCAGACTCAGGAATATTCGACGCAGGCAGCAGCAATTAAACAATCTTTCGGAAGATTTCAAAAAATCGTAATACTTTTACAACACTGTCACTGTGCAAGCCACTTTAATGGCGAATAGTCCTACTCATTGACAATATGTACATATATCTGTATTATCATATCTATATACAGAGTACATACATACAGTACCTGTCTGTCGCTGCTGGTATAATACTATAATGTTAGCTGGTTCTCAGTACTCTGTTGTGTATTAACATTCGCAGGAACTCACACAAGATGTTTAAAAAATATTCAGAATACCGGGTAAGCTTTGTTAAAAATTGGTTGTAAGGTTTTAAAGAAACTTACATTGAGTTCAATCTGACATTGACTACTTTAAGCAAGGCCAGCGCGGTTAGCAGAACGGCTAGTATCAAGTATGGAAGACTGAAAGCCCATACGCTGCGACATACTAATAACTACGCAAGGAATAACTGAACGGAGCTCCTTAAAAGATGTTTTGATTTCGCTTTTGGGATTGCGTCAGGACAGTGCTTTTAGATAACTGCGGACGTCAGATTTCGGTAATTTTTAATTGGATATGTATTATTTGTGCGTGCCAGAATCAGTTAATTAAATTGTTACGGCCGTTTCCGGTAAGCTTTAGATACTGTAATTTCCGTTTGCTCTAGAACCATTAATGACGCATTGCACACTCCAAAGTTTAAATTTTTGTTTAGGCTGAATTTCCATAAAGTACTGGTTTAAGATTCTGCCGAACATGATCTTACACTGGCAGCAGAAGCGCTGATTAACCTGCTCAGTGGAGCGGATATCGTAACAACTGAAAATTAACAACGCCATACAGGGCAGCCACCTACAGCCAACTTCCGCAGTCATTGTCAAAATGGTCAACTGTCGCGGGCAAAAGGCAACTGGCCGCGGCTGCATGCTCCCGATTATGATTGTACACAAACGAATTATATTCATAAGTATAACCGAAATATAATGCGTATACATATATATACATCAATGTATGTCGATGCACGGGGCCAGGTGTAGTTGAGCCCGGTTAGATTAGCCATCGCTGTGTAATTACCGGTTAACCTGTGCGCGTATTGTCCGTGGTAATTTACTCGGGCTGCCTCCACTCTGTCAACAATTCCATCGCAACCTTTTTGTCCTCAATTACGCTGATACATACAGCATGTACAGCCGCTCGAGTTGGAGTGTGTTTAAAATTAAAATGCAGCTGACGACGGCATCCTCCGCGCGATAATGGAGCGGATAAAGAGGAGCACGGCTGCTGCGGTCAATTAAGTGGCCGAGGCGCGGTCAACAGGGGCATGCGTTAATGGTGATATGCGCGGTACCGGTATTGTTCCGTTGGACAGTGTGTTTGTCATCCGAGCGCCACATCCGGTCAGCCATGTGGATCCAACCGGGGTCAAATACAAATTAATTGAGTCAACTCATTTTCCGCAACACAAATTCGTGACAATCGACAGCATCAACTAACAAAATAATATACATAATGGAAAATAAAGTAATTTGGACAAATTTGCGTTCTGTATATTTCAATCATAGCGTTCACCTTGATGACCTTATCGTGCTTTGTATTTTATTAAGATATACAAATGCGACGAAAAACCGTTATTCCAAAATTTCCTAACTTAGACAAACGTAATTTAAATCAAAGATAACAACTGTGACCTTAAAAATTTCCTAAGTATCCATAAGAAAACTAATCGCTTTATATTCTAGCAAGGTTGAATAAAAATTCATTGCAATTTTTTTCTTTTCCTTATTCTGATATTGCAAAATTTCTTAAGTTAGGAGAACGTAACATGAAAATAAAAATTGCAGCTGTAACCTTTAAAAAATTGCTTAAGTAGTCATAAGCAAATTACCCATTTTAATTTGAAGCGAGGTTCAACAAAAATACATGAATGTTTTGACGTATTTCCAGTCATCCTATCCCTCGAGTGTAAATGTGTTAAAATGCATTGGATAAACAAACCTTTAAAACGTACATTCAACACTTAGCACACACATTCGCATTGTGCAACACGACATTATAAAACGTGAAAAGCTGCGTACATAAGAATTCGAGTCAGTGGATGTGTGTGTCGTGTGTGTTTACTTTGAGCCGGCTGATCAAGCCGGGATCAGCCGCATCCCGTTGCCGCATAGATAGACCGGCTTCGGGAGTCAATAATGCTGATTTTCCTAAGCGCTGCACCGCATAAACGGGAATATATGCGCTCCCGTGTTCGTCGTATATGTAAGCGGCAGCAGCACACCAGATTTGCTTAGTCCCGGCCGGGGATTCTGCCGGCTGTCAGAATTAAGTGGCAAGTGATGGGCCCCCGGGGATTCCTGTTGAGAAAACTAATCAGTTAAATTGCACTTTAATGACGGCATCATGATCAGCAATTCCACCACTAATGATGCACCACTCGGCCTCGCTGTGTGACGGAGAGATCGAGTGTAATGCAGTGTAAAGTTAACTGGACGATGTTTATAACACCAATCAGTTATGTTTTTCAATTGACTTTATAATTTATATGTACATTTTTACGTTCTTTAAAGAATCAAGTTTGTAAGGATCCCACTTTTCGGTCATGTTTTGCTGTATACTTCGAAGTATATTTAGAGTAGTGTACACTGGTACCATTTACCGTAGTGTACTGCCAGTACTGGTATCTGCCATGCAACGTATAGTGTAAGATTCACTGCGTATGGTTATAACCTACGAAGTATAATACGAATACGAACCATGCGTGCAGTAATACAATCATATTTTTTGTAACATTACTCGTAACATAATACAGTCCAGTAAATAATTTCGGTAATCTCTATGCATGCATAGCGGTGGGTTCCAGAAAAGTGGCGCGTATACTGGTACAATGCGAAGGAGCACAGAGTGAGGGAGGCGATGCGGCCCGGAGCCGGCAAATACACAGTCGTTTTAATTTACGTTAACGATTTCCCACATTGACTTCCGCTGGCATGTTCTCCTAAGCTGTCCATCCCAATCCATATGGCTTAGGCAATTATCATGATTTACGGACATTTGTAATTCCGGCTAATCTGCCGGAATTGCAGATATTTATCAATTACACGCTGCTCTATTAACAGGACTAGTGTCCAATTTCGACGGCCGTGTGCGATCCACGTAAAAAGCGCACTGTGCCTGATAAACGCGGTCATGATCGCCGACTTTTTTATTTCCTCTCTCAGTCAGCGTTCATTACACGATATGGCATAGAGTTTTCCCTTCTAACAACCGTTAAATATTGCTAGAAATGACACTTCATGTGTTCTTTTTCGATTTGCCACTTCGGTGCAATATTTGAACACCCTAATACAAGAAAGACCACAGAAACATTTAATGCAAAATCTGCATACTGCATATATAAACATTTAATGCGCCGTACGAGTACTACGAATCTTCAGTACAGTGCGAACTTCATACATGCAAATACTTAGGCAAGCTTATTAAAAGTAGTTAAAACATCCAGTTAGCTTACTTGTATCTCAGCATCGCTCTGTATGTGATGCACTTATGTAAATACAGGATCGTGTTACATATGAAGGAGACGATGTTCATATATTAAAAGAATAAGACAGATAAAAGAAATATACGCGGATATTTATATACATGTATATTATATGATATGCACTACGATTATGGTTTTATATGCATCACGATTTTGTTTTTTATGTCTTATGGTTCTTGAATACCCGATACAATCCAAAACCTTAAATTCAAGATAATTTTTTAACTGGAGTTATAATAAGCTTTATCTTATATTAAAAATATCGATCGAAGCCGTACACACCAGTGACACCACTATAACACTGCACCAGATTCCAGAAGTCCAAATCACAAGATCAAGTAATCAATGGACAATGCACATTGTCTTTGCGATACGTGTGCTCTAACATTAATTCACAGAATAATTACTTTGTCCCGTTATCGCTGCTTTTTAATTGTGCGCTTATACTGCATAATTACTTCGATTCTCCTAACCTCTCATATCGAACAATTACCGGCGAACGCCGACACTGTCAAAGCAGCACACAACCTGCAAATCAGAATCGAAAATCCGGCAAACAAACACACCGATAAGGAACGGTCCGGATAAGATGCGACAAACACGAGAACATATTTTGTGTATTTATATGCAGCCGGCGCACAATCAGAATTCTTTGCGGGAACTGATTTGGACTTGAGCTGCACGGTGTCTAGACCTTGAATCAACACACGGTGACAGCTGCAATCGCGGGTCCCGTTCGCGGGTGCCTTGATTTGAGCAGTGCGCTGCATAACAGCTTTTGGAAAATCAGAAAACGGTACATTTTCTGTGTCCACCTGATAAGGAATTGCGAAAATATTATCCGACGCTGGAGAGATTGGCTCTGTGCCGTTATCATGCCGCTATCGCGCTGCACTCAGCCATGTTCACTCAATCACTTCTATGTAGAAAGCTTGTTATAACATTTTTACAAGGATTACCGGGTTCAATTGCAGACCGCAGATTATGTATTCTGACGGTTTAATAACCTGCGAGAATTTTATTAACATCATACTTAGAACAATCAATACGGCACAGGGAAACCAGTAGCATATATGCGTTACAACAGTAATGTTCCTTTTCTAGGTACATATATCATATTATATGTGTGTACTATAAGCATATAATATATTATATAATTATGTACCTCGTTCTTTACTAACTTGGATAATATTATTTTTATTAGAGCTAATGCGAATCATATATTGTGGAAAACCCTTCAAACCTTATGTCTAGTTGTCGCAAAGCATTTCTTTAAATTGTTTTAATATTGGTGTAAACAGAGCGATTTGCTGGCTGGGTTCAGAAAGCGTAGCGTGCCCTATCGATCACAATAATCGGACCGTACTGGCAAAAAGTTCCGACTTTATTCTTTGCTTTACTGAAAATAAAAACGTTACTTCGGCCTAGCTTGAAAAAATGGGAAGCTGGAGACGGAACCGTTAAGTTACCTCAAGAAATAAACACAATCTGGAAAAAGCCGACACAATCCCACCTCAGTTTGAAAAGCCGTAATTTAAGCTGAGAAAAAGCCAGATTGGCAGCATAACAGGGCCGTTTGGATGCGAAAGAAATAGGGAGAGAGTTTGGAATAGCGACAGGTGCGGATTGCATGTGCCGTGTTTCCCTTGGCCTGTCCCTGCCCGGCTTGGATGAAGACATATATGGACTCGGTGCGTGATTGCAAAGGGATGCAATGCCCATGTGGCGGGGAATGGCGATTCTGCCGGTATGTCAGGCTGTATACCGGCGTATCATAACAACGCTCGGACGCGTGCCTGGATGACAGAGGTCGAGTCAGTGCAGTGGCGGAGGAATATAGCTAACAGTGCTCTCCTTAATTATGACCCACGCTGGAGGTGAACAGCTAATCAATGGACATTTGCCAGGGAAGGGAAAGAATCGCGCGTCTATCTATCATTCATAAGCTCACCTGCGACCAGCTGCAAAAAGAGCCGCGCTGCTGGACAATAGATCTAAACAATTACGTGGACAATTTCCCGGCAAACTACTGTACAATAAACAAGCGTCGGTACAACCGGCTGATCGATATTTTTAGACAGGTACAAGTTTCTTCAGAGAATTTTCGGTTTAGCCTACTTGCTAGCCAGAATACCATGTAACGACGAATTCAGAAATTTTTATTATGATTTTGCTGCTTGTAAAAAAATTTGTCAACGTTAAAGAATTTGAATAAAATAGGTTAAAATGTATTAATTTGCTGCTGTGACATGCTGGATAGTTGCGGTGCACCCCGAATTCTATGTTTGCTGCTCACCCTTATGGTATATAAATCAGTATCTAATTAAATTCTTGACTTTGTCGCATCAGTTTAGGTGCAGCACTCAACACAATCGACTGAAAGTGCAAAGGGTCAATTAATTAATCTTGGCAACAGGATGGTCAACGGGGCTAAAATCAGTGCAACCCATAATTTGGCCGCTAAGTCAATTACAACCGCCGGATTGACCGGCACGGCAGGTGTACCACAATAGACCCAAAGACAGGAAGTGAATTGACTTTACGTTAAATGTAGCCGAATGGGAAGGGGGATAATTATGGGATTAAGCGGGTTAATTAATAGCAATTAGCCGGTTGGTCAGAGACGCCGTGTACATGTACGTCGAGGCGACTGTCCGCTGTAAATCTGTTGGCGGTAATTGGCTTACGGATTATTGTCAGCCGCTGGTACAGCTCGCTTCCTCCATTCAGCTCGTTATGCATATATGACCGCTCAATCTGGCCAGACAACGCGGACGGCCAAGTGACATGTGGCCAGCTAGACGCTGTGCAGCCCGCCTTCCGACTGGTTGGTGGGTGCGTCGTACAACCTATTAATTAAGCGCATTCTGCCTGCTTATAACCTTCTGTGTGAACTGAGAAATCAATGAAAATCTGAAGAATCTGATGGCAAATGGGAATATGTATTTTCGCCGTTTGTGATGTCTGAAATCTGTGTACCACCACAAAGGCCGTTTGGAGGCTGTTACTTTAGTAAAACAGCAATAAACAGGTGCTAAAATTATACAAGTATAACTCTAGAAATTCTGTATTAAAATTAAAAACAGCTCTTGTGGCCTTTTAATAACTGGAATAACAGAATCGCTGGTAAAGGTCACGGAATTTCAGTGTGTGATTTGATCGTATTATGTAGTGTTTTGCAGCTGTGCTTTGTGAGTCCGGATGCAGCTGTGCGAGGCTGCGCTGTACAGAGGTTATACGGTACGGTTATACAAAAGACAGGTTTAAGGGAAAAATTGCGCTGAAGTGGCGGAGAAGCGCGCGCGCACTAGCGCTAACTATGACACAAGTGGATGGAAGCTGTGAAACGCCTAAATCGGTTAAATTGCGGAAAAGGTTAAAAGAACTGTTTGCATTAGCCGGTGCAGGGTGCGATAAGCCGCTGCAGCTAACAGGTACACAAACAGACGCCATGGAAAAGCTATTAGTTCCGTTTTGCGCTGCAACCCGCGACACTCATTCAACTGATCACCGTTACCCCGCTGCACAGGATACGTCTGAGTGGGGCCGGGAAGGAACTAAATGAAACCTGAGTGGTCCCGGATAGAGTAACAAATTTGACAATCGCGTCCTACTGTTATGCCAACATGCCAGCCTTAATGGATATATACTAGCCCGGCATGCCGGTTACAAGCGTCCGCACCGCTTAATTTACCCACGGTCTGTGTCAAGCTGGCGCATGTGAAGTGTTTCCCCAAACAGGAACACGGACGGCGCGCGTTGTCAAACAGCAGGAACACACCAGGGAATTTGTGTTTTCCTGTGGAGTTATTTTTGCCAAAGAGTGACAGGAAGAATCTCTGCGTCTTACGTGACTGGAAAGCAGCCAGAATTTACAGTAGCACATTTGTACGTGAATGTACGGCTTTATTTTGTTTTCAACGCTCGATGAATGTACATAATACAGTATGCACGCTCGATATATTTTCCATTCGTATTCATGTAAGAGTTTGCAACCTCCATAATTTTCAGTTATACTGGTACGTATCTTGATAAACAAAGAAACTCAAAATCAGATCACGATATTTTGAAGAACACATATTTGGTCTTTGCTACGAGCACAATATTTACTCGCATAATTGTTCTTGTTTAAACTACATATCTCCCTATATTGGCATTGGGAAGGCAAACCCATATTTAAATGCTTTTCAAACATAAGTTTGTAGAACCTGCAAACAGCAATAATATACAGTACTTACTAAAGTCTGATTTGAATTCCTTTTTACCATTCGTATGATCGACCCAGCTGGTTTTGCTGAAATTTCCTGGAAGCCCAAAATAGCGGACCAGCTGATTACTGACACGGTTAAACTGTAAATGTTTTATTTTTTGTTGTTGTCCATTAGAATTTACGACATTAACAGAACATTCCAGCATAGCGTTTTGCAGCACTTATTGCCGGTAACAGAAGCTGTATTTAGTTTAGAGAATGCGCTTGTACAGACATTCACCATGAATACAAAATGGTGAAGCAGCCGTGGCAGAAAATCGTTAGAGTTTGTATGCTCGTGGTTGTTGTGGAAAAAGAAAGCTAAGCGGAAATTCGATGATTTCTGCTGAGGGAATTGGAGGCGTGCGGTTTGGGAATAAAGGGATTTGCTTAATTGATTCCCCGATCCACGGGCCGCGCACCACTCGGCATCGTTAGCGTTTAGTCAGTGGAGAAGTGTTTACAATGCCGGCATGTGCAACTGCCGCGCGCAGCGCTTAGTTTAAATTATTTACCATTTTCCACATTCTGCGCTTACATGTTTGCCAATCGGTCGGTTACATTTTTACACTCCACTCACTCCCGGCTCGGCTTGTCCCATCTGATTGAATACAGCACGGCGTATGCAAATACAAAATGCCTGTTACCGCACCGGCACTGCATACGCATTTTCCAATCCCGGGAACGGAATAACATTGACGTCCATCAGCGGAAATTAAAACATCCCCCGACCGGCATTTTCCTGCTTTGGCGGAATATCAATGCTGGCTTGTTTTTACTGATTATGGCTAGCCGCTATTAGCGGGGTCAAACTTTTTAATAGTCTAGATTGAAAGCAAGTTTGAACAGTTAATCAGGCTTGAAACTGACCAGAATGCGGTTTTTATCAGTGCATCGTTTTCGGGCAGTGATGTGCTGAACAATAAGTGAATTGACTGTCGTTTTAAACTGAAAGCTCACTAAAACTATAATCGACGCGAACAAGCGCTCCGCAAAAGAAGCCAAACTTCCATAAAGATGGTTTTCGTGTTTCTATACCACTAAATTTCAATCTAATGATGTTTCTTTTTATTTTTATATTTTTGAAACACACAAACCGAATTACAATAGGTGGTGAACAGATTTACTACAATCACAAGACTATTTCTGGTTTTGATGTTAAGATTTGCCTTGGTCAAACTTTGTTGTATGCAGTTTTAAAGACTCTGTACACTGTGTACAGGGTATCTTTCTGGTATTTTTTTCTGATGTTTAGTTTCCACGTCATCTGCGACAATTATATTTGACATTTTAAGTTTTAACGGTGGGCTTTCGACAATATTTTTACCTCAACCAAAAAACACATCAATAATAATAAAACAAGCGTTCATAATAACCAGTTTGGTTCGGTGTTTTGAGATGAGATCTTTCCTGACACTCAAGAGAATTTGCGTTCCGGAAGCGGTGCGAAAGGTAAACTTTGACTAATCAGCAAAGTGAAAACATTTGTCTGACTTTATTTACCCGTATAGCGGAGAAAGGACGAAATCTGATTGGCCGTCTCATCTGCGTACATTAAACACCGATAAGACAACACACACACAGAGCACTGACGTCAGTCATGCCGCATCTACCAGTAGCGACGCAACTCAAGAGAGAAAGAGACAGGGATGCAGAAGAATGCCAGGGAGAAATAATGGCACGTACAGACTGCTGCAAATCACAGATTGGACATTGCCGGGCCGCATTGAACCGCCTTGTCCGCCGCGTGTTTGTATGTGTGTGGATTGAGCACAATACGTACGAGCGTCCCCAGAGGTACGGTCATGATTTAAATGCCCGCTACCAGTGCAAAGCGCCGCGTCACATATACCAATCACTTCCCTCCCGTTAATCTGTACATGACGCTGTTGCATCGTTCGTACTCAGCCAACAAGCAGCGTCGTTCGCCCAATCTCAAAGCACAACATTTCTTAACAAACCGTTTTGCATACACTGACGGACGGATTTGACGATCCCGCGCTCCACAATCTCCACGTATATACTGATTTGCGGGCTGTATATAATCCATCCTGCGGTATCATCATCCGTATGGTAAACACTTGGTCGGTCTGTCTCTCTCGCTGCTCTCTCTTTGATTGCGCCGCTGTACGGTAGCGGCCGCGCGCGCTCCAATCCGTGACCTTTAATCATTAAAACAATCGCATGGAGATCGACTCAACCACCTGACCTTTGCCTTGATTGCGGCTGCTTGTCAGCTGTGAACGGGAAGCGATTTATTATCGATAAGGAATATATTGGACGGGTATTGCATTTTGCGGAATATGGTGTCGAAATCGGGATTGATTAGTCCGGCGTCGAAGAGCGCCTTCCAGATGGTGATGCCGCGACCAGAACTGCTGGCAGGTAATAACCACACACACAGCAGCACCGTTGTGGCTGTCAATCGTTAGAATAAATCAGTTTGTACTTGCCAATTATGTGGCACGCAATAGTGTCTATACAGGGACAATGCCGATGCTTGGGAAAAATCAATGTAGAATGTAAATACATCCAAGATGCTGTTATGCAGGCGATGGGGCCGGTTGTGAGCTATTGTATTTGCTCAATCGGTGAAGAGTTAGATTATTAAAGAATATGTGCACTGGGTTGTATTTGCTGGTGTGTGATTTTACATATTCGGGTCCCCGCGAATGTTCGATTGACAGTGAGTTGTGTGTGTGTATTGTAGAAGCCTTCAAGGCGGCCAATCCCGGTCATCATTCAGCGGGCATGTTTGCACATTATCCCGGTATGCAGAGTGCCGCCGCGGCCAACTACTGGTGGCAACGCTTCCCAGCCAGCTTCATCAATCCGGCCGTGTGGCCCTTCATGTTTAACGCCGCGGCGGCCGTTAATTCCCAGATGCATGCGGCTGCCACGGTGCCGACCACGCCGGCCGTCCTGCGGTCTAATCAGCCTCCATTACATGCCGTACCGCATCCGCCTGCGCCCACGAAAAAGAGCCGGCAGGGCGGGAAGAAGAAAAAGAAGGCGCAAGTGGCCAAGTTCCGGTTTGAGGATCTGCCCAGGAATTTTGAGCACACGCCGTCAGATGGCAGTCAGAGCGGCGAGGAGACGCTGGAGCAGGCGGATAATGGGCCGCGGTCACGGTCGTCCTCGCCGGTGGGCAAAGATCCGGAGAATCGTAAGCGCATATTTCTCACTCGCAACTTGCACTTGCAACTGATAAATTCATAATATGTAGCAAATAGATACTCGTTTGATACTAGGGTTAGCAAATTTTTTAACGGTTTCTTTTGAAACTATGTAAAAATCGGTCATTATCCTCATACTGAGTGCACTTTTTGTTGACCTTTTTGAATCTGGAACAGAAGCCTGCAAAAATTATTCACAAAATGTTTTACCCATTGTCAGTACTTGCAAAACCTAATCGGTTCAGGATTTACAAATATCCAGATTGCTCATAGCACGTACTAATGATTTTCAATGCATTATCCCTTTTCGGTGTATTGATTTAGAAACTTCTGGGCTTACTAATTTTTTAAGTTTGCTTATTGTTTCCTTTGCGTCTACAAAAATAATGAATTCGAAAGCTGCAAAGAATCGTCCCTTGCAATTCCCTTATAAAGAATACGTTAGGTCAAATAAATTTTTTAACTTGTGCAGTGCTTTTGCGGAATCACGCAGAACAAAAGACAGCAAAAATAAAAACACCAAGACATAAAAAATGTCTTAGAAAACCACTTAGCTTTTGATACACGGTAGCAGGATTTTGATTGTTGCCTTAATTTTTATCGGTAGCTGCGACTGGAACTGTTTTATAAGTAAGCAAAAGAGCTACCGTCAATCCTGTTAATTTGAACTATGCTCGAAACACTGATTACGGATGCATTGTTTCTTAACAATAATATTATTTATCCTGCACACTGCCAGTATTCTTGCGTTGTTGATAAGGTCCATAGTTAACTATAACCTTATCGTCTTCGTCAACATTATAAAACCCTTAGAGCAAACCACCAAATTTTATCTAAGAAAATAATGTGGTAAGACAGTGTATTGTAATCACAATGCGCCGCTGTGTCTCCGTGCGCAGATGGTCATTGCATATCGAATTTTGCTATTGCGGGATCCCGGCTGCCCAGCAGCATGTGCATACACAGTGCATGTACGCAGAAATTGATTGATAACGCAATATTTTCGTACGTTAGATAATTGCACACTTACGTGCACGAAAGCATACCATACTTTCACGTATGCATGGTATATAGAAATACAAACTTAATTGTGTTCTGGTATGACACGTGACAAACCCATGAGGTTAAAGATTTAATCCTTTTTATTGATACATATTAGCGCGCAATGGTTTGCCACAAATTACCCAGAAAATTTGATAGATAATCAAGCTGATCGAATAATTAATAATTAAAAAGCGCATGGTGTGGCGCATATTTTTGAAGGCTGATCTAACCCGGACGCGCTGTCTGTTACGAAAAGTATACTAATATTCTATGCATCCTAAATTATAATCATTATGAATAATAGTAAAATATATAAACTGATTGCTCAGTGGTTTTTTCGGAGGATCAACCAGTTTAGCCAAGTACATCGTAACTTATTTTAAGTAAAATTTAAAACCACTGTATATGATGCATAATGCAAAATTGTACCAAAGCGTTACAGTTGCGTATGGTACCGTACAAATAAATTTGACAATTTGTGCATTAAGTTTGCTGTGCAGTTTAACATCGATATGATTACTTGAGCGAACAGTATTCAACATAATTATGACATGTAACATTTGTATGGATTATGTAACATTTGCGTCATTATACAGACATCTGCAAAGAGAAATCGGTTAGCGCCGATGAAACGGCTCCCAGCCCGCGTCCGTCATTCCCGGCACCCTCCACCACCCACCCTCCCTGGGCCCGCAACATGAACGGCATCTTCCCCTCCAACCCCGCCTTCTTCTGGCCTCCCCATTTGAACCCACCCCTGGAATGGAGGACCGCCGGCCCGCCCGCCTTATCCTCCCTACCTCTCCCCTTCCACCCGCCGGGCATGAACAAACTGGCCTCCCTCTTCCCACCACCCGGCATCCCTCCAGCGTACACTTTGGGCCGGCCCCGCTCGGTGACCTCAGCGGACTCCTCCCGTTCCCATTCGCCAGGCTGTGACGGTGTTGCACCGCTGCGCGGGGATCATCCTTATTCGTGCCAGAAGTGCGCCAAGCTGTTTAGTACCGTGCACGGCTTGGAGGTGCATGTGCGGCGGGCACACACCGGGAATAAGCGACCCTATGCGTGCCAGACGTGCAATAAGACCTTCGGACATGCGGTGTCGTTGACGCAGCACAATAAGGCCGTACACTGTCAGGAGCGGCAGTTCCAGTGTCATCAGTGTGGAAAGTGCTTTAAAAGGTCATCAACGCTCAGTACGCATTTGCTGATACATTCCAATACGCGACCGTACGCGTGCCCGTACGCGAATTGTGGGAAGAGCTTCCATCAGAAATCGGATATGAAGAAGCATACATATATCCATACCGGTAAGGTCATCACGTTTACGGAATGGGCCATGATTTTACCGTCTTTTCAATACTATACTTTCAATACTATATGCAAGTAGTATATGTAGTCCTTGCTTAGTCCTTAGACTCCTTACTAGTATATGTAGTCCATGATTAATTATTTTTCGTACGGCTTTTAAAACACAGTTTTTGTTAGTATAATCATGTACTGTATGAAATCGATACACGGTAGACGTCCGATAGAAAATTAAATAATCACTCGATTGTATCAAGAAAATTTCCAAAACAGAATTATTTTGTACAACAGGTGAAAAGCCTCACAAATGTACGGCTTGCGGAAAGGCCTTCAGTCAGTCCTCCAATCTAATTACGCATTTCCGGAAGCACACCGGCCAGAAACCGTTTGGCTGTTCGTACTGCGGACGCGCTTTCCAGCGGAAAGTTGACCTTCGTCGCCACCTGGAAACGCAGCATCCCTCCGCGCCCAAACTACCACCGGACCATCCGCACAACGTGCAGTCCGATCAGGACTAAAGGCAGATTAGCCGCAACCGGTGACAAATCGGAACGCTTTCCGATGCTCTTGAATTAGCGATCGCGAGCAGGGGTTGATGATGACCGCGGGATCTCATCTCTGGTCAAAATGTTCATTGGTCTCCTCCAAAGACGGTTTTATAGTTTGCAATATCTGTTATTACCAAGTTCATACTGTGTACGTACGATAGTATTGAGTCGAATCAAAAATGTGTGGATACCGAATTATGGCGGATAGAGAAAAATATACAGTATAACCTTATATGTACTCATATACCTGACTTAAAATAAATGCATTCTACCGAAGTGCGGCATGCCAGTTCATACCTAGACCTACACTTAATTGTTACCATCCTTGACGAATTAATGGAACTGCAGTATCACAGTAAACTGGCTTATTGTCGTTTCACGGTTGGGCCGGGTTGGCTACTGTAACTTAGACGCATTTAGGCAGGTGTATAATACTTTTTTAGAAGGGCTATCAAGAAGTGGTCAAAAACATTGAAAAATAAAGCTCATGAAATTTTGATCGAATCATACCAGCATATACAATGTATCAAAAAGCTAATCATCACTGTAAAGCAAACAAAAAACTGTACACGTGAATGCGTTGGACTGTCAAAACAGAGGTTATTCGGATCCGATCCAGCGGTATACTTTTATAAGTTACGACTGCTGCCAAAACACTTTGGCAGCGGCTTTCTGCAACGGAAGAAAATTGTGCTCTCGCGCAAAATCGAAGTATGCCAGTGCATTTTCCGCCCTGATGGAGTCCATCATCATCCGGACACATTCCGCACACAAATCCTGCATGTCGTACTTGTCGGCGACATTCCACAATTCCACCAGTTTACCGTCGGCTTGGAACGGCGCACGAGTGTAAGCGAACTGAATGACAATCTGCATCAGATCCACAGGGATGCCGTCAATCTTGCATATCCCGGAAGATGTCTCCTTCATACTGTTCTGGAACATGGCGGCAAATACAGGCGACTGAGCAGCCAAAATGGCTCGATGAACAGGAAACTCTTTTCCCTGGCAGACTATCTGGCAATCAGATAGCGTTCCTGATTGTAAGAGGTTTCTCAGATCAGCGCGATAGAAAGCGGCTTCCTGGGGCTCGTCCAACTGGATAACTAGCTGAGCATACAAACACAACCCTTGAACCAGGGAATAATGTTGTTGCTTACAATCCGAGTCTGACGAGTTATGCGTCTGTATTAGACCATTCAGAAAGCCCTGTGTCCTAGAAAACGAAAACTCCCCTTTCAGAGGCAATTGTTTCCATCCTGATGAGTCAATTCGTATAACCGAGACCATGTTATATGAAGTTCCTTCCGCATCCGCTCTGAAATTAAGCAGTAATTCGGGATCAAGATTGTGTACTTGCTACTGCGGCAAAACCGAAACATTCAGCCGTTTCGTTGCATCCCTTACCGAATTCGGCATTCCACGGTTAGAGTGTGCGCCGAGGTTATGTCAACAGAACGTCCTTTTGGAAAGATCGAAGCTGTTAAGGAATCAAAAAACTGATTCTGAATGCATTCCGGAGCAGTCAGTGAGACAATCCAAACAGACGAGGACATATCGAGAAATCTCGCACCAACATCGACGTTGATTTCCGCGGTGTATGTTCGTTTGCAACGAGTACTCCAAGCGTCACTGACGAACTGATCGGTCGGAATATTGTACTACTGTAGACCCAACATCGGGTTTAGAGATAATGGTGGAATTATCGCTGCCATGGCACCGCAGTTTGTTCCCTAAGTTAAAAACAACGAGAAAATTTAGCATTAATATTATGCGACTCCTGTGATCATGCCAAGATACTCGTAATATGGGGAAAAACAGGGATACCCACTGACCGGAAACGAGAGCAAGGTCTGTGAACGTGGATGCGTTGGAACCCTCCAGTCGCCAGCAGCCACAGAATACGGCCACTACGAAGCGAAACATCAAAGCGCGTTAATGCCGTTCGTTAAAACCAAGAAGTGTAAATACCGCTGTGGTCGGAATGGTGGCGAAATAGGGCACGGCCATCGAGGAAACAGTTATTCACTGTCGTACGCAACAGTAGCCTCGGTTTGCTTACAAATTAACTGGACGTTGTAAGTGACCGTAAACGGCGCAAAGATACTTGGGAATACACGCCATCCACAGTAACCAGCTAGGAACTCTGTTCCACCTAGACCAAATAAACGGTGAGCCAGCATACACCCAGTTACCTACTCAGAGGCTTACAGCAATCATCAAGAACGCCATGCCGGATCCGGTTGACCTTTTGCGTTCTTTGATAGCATGTGTAATTTCTTATGCCAGATACCAGGTGAAGATGCTTGCAGTAAGAGTGACACACAATGAAAACAAGGTAGCGGAGCCAATGTAACCTTTTAAAAAATGAAAAATGAACCAGGATAGCGATGTAGGTCATGCAGCATGATCGGAAAACATCGATTCATTCCATGATATTGTCTTTCAAAATGAGGTCACGCGCGTTCACATCGTAATGAATGGAAATTCGACGCAGAAATTGATAACAAATTTGTAAGCAAAGACGTTTCACTCAGTATGTCCTAAAGGCTTAGGCTTGCTATGGCTCCGCAAAGGTCACAATTGGTACAACTGTCAGCGCAGCCACGAAGGCAACGCACGCGGAGGCCGCAGCGGCAGCTTTCTTCAGATTATTTCATTTAAGTATGCCTTTCCTCGTTCGTTCATCAAAATATATGTTAGATACAGTTATTGAAAAACAAGAGTCGTGCTTAGAAGTACAAGACAAAAACAGCATGCTCGTTTGAGCGCAAGCACAACGGACAAAATTGAATTGCTGTCTTACAAAGTAAACTAGGTATATATTTTTGTTTAATAATAGCTGCGATTGTTTTTATCAGACGAAAATTGATAGTCCGGAATGCAGGGCATCGGAAAAGATATATCATTTCCGAACAGCTCCCAGAAGTTTGTTTCACAAAGTTTGTTGCCCAAACACCTTCGCGGCTTCGATTTGAAGTTTTTTCATTCCGTGATCGCGAGCGAAATCGAAATATTCCAGAGCGTTGTCCAGGGTGATAGAATGAAGCATTTTACGTTCGCATTGTCCACGAAGCTCTTTCATGTCGTACTTATCCGCGGCATTCCACAAGTCGATCAACATTCCATCAGCTGGAAAATGTTACCTTGTGTAAGCAAACTGAAGCATAGTTTGAAGAACCTTTGCCGTAATATCGCTAATCTTACACACTCCAGATAACTTTTCCACCATATGTCTTGAAACATTGCTGCAAAGACTGGCGACTGTGCAGTCAGAATGGCACGGTGGACGTGGAATTCCTCACCTTCACAAACTAGCATACAATCTGACAGCGTCTGCGAGTATAAGAGTTCCTTCAAACCGTGCGATAATGGGCAGCCGTACTGGGGTCCAGTTTCTTGATGACATTAAAGGTTAGGTTTACGAATACGCGGGACCCTTTCTTTAGATGATAGTGGTCGCGTCCACATGGAGCTCGATGATTGATTACTAGGCTTCGGAGGCTGCCTGGTTCTACCGGGTCCCATCCTGTCGGGCCAATTTTAATACCAAATGTTTCCGTGCTTCTGTAAGCCGCAGTACGTGGAGAAAAATTAGGAATGTTTACATACTTTGGCAACTTGTTTTTACGACCAATCAACTTACCTGACTTGGCAGTCTACAAATACGGATACAGGACTGCAGAGATCGGATTTGGCTCCCTGGGGATAAACAGAAGCGGTAACCGTTCCATCATAGTGCCCTACCACCAGCTCGCCAGTCCAAGTTGACGGTGGAATTTCCGGGTAGTTGGGATGTTCTCTTACGCAGATAGTGGCAGTATATTTATGATGCTGCACAAAGTCTTCTGTTGGCCTGGAAATAAATTCTCCACCGGAATTTTGTAATGCACAAATAGAGCTCCGAATTGGATACCGTATGAAACTGGCCCCGTAATGACATCAACGACATTTTTGCAGTGGAGGTCATTTTTGAGACACATAGTAGACGGGCACCGAGTAACAAACCCCACTTACAATTAGCATTGCAATCCTAAAGCCTACTTATTATTAGAACGTGCCGGTAAAAAGCGTTAACGAAAATAGTTGTGGTTGTAGTTGTGGTGTTAACGAAAATAGTTAATCGTAAGTTTTAGAAAAGTCAGTCTTCGACGTGCTGTAATGTAATGTCTAATTTTCTCGATATTCTGTTACGAGTATTACTTACCTAAAGTACATTAAGTGTTTCTCAAACGCTCAAACGTGCCACGAAAACATACGTGCGTGCGTGCGTGCTGATCTTGCTCCAGCTTTCTTGTGTGCTCCAGCTTTCTTTCTTGTGTGGAGTAATTTGTGGTTACTACGAATGCCCGGCTTTTTGTGGTTTAAATATTATTTTATTATTATGCATATGGTTTATGCTGCGTCAGCTTGTTATTTAATTTAATTTAATTCATTTATGCGGAAGTACGCGAAGGCAGTACTGATGTAATCATCTAATTTTACAATTTTCACAACTACATCACACAATTCAAGTCATCTATGCGAACAAATCAAACAAATCAAGTCATCTAAGCGAAGACTAACAAATCTAACAAAAGACAGTTACAATTCCACCGCGCCATGATCACCAGTTCTTGAATCTATTTCCCGCAAAACAAAACCGAAATCAAAACAACACCCAACACAATTCTCCTAATTCAATAATCTCACAATTCTCCTAATTCAATGCCTTATTGATTTCGGCAACAATAGCCATGATTTCCATGGCCTGGCTATTGTGGGACTCCTTGACCAATTTTATCAAGTTCGCAACGGAAGTACGGACTTTGTTGAACTTTTCCACATCGACGATCTTTTCGGTGCTATGCTGTTCAATGGATTTCATCAAGGCCGCCATGAGCGTTTTATTCTTCTCTTCAATTCCGCAATCTGTAGCATACCGTAAACCGCAAACAATTTTTCCAATAAAAATAGATAATCTATTTCAATAGATTAAGTACTCAGAAAGAATGCAAAAGGTAATCACATGAACGTCTGTAAAGATAATCTAATAAAACGCAGATCTACCAGCCTTAGATAATCTAAAAATCTGTCCTATGCTGAACGTGGCACAGCAATTTCTAACAAACCCGTGGTACGGCGTTATTTATAGTTTACTCACCTCTTTCCGCAGATATGTTATAATGGCCTCATAGTCCGTCAAGGCTGCACAAGCCGGTGCGAAAACCTTCTGGACCTCTTCAGGCAGTGCGGTGCCCATTTTTTTTGCAATGCCTTTCAAATCCTTAACGCCGTCAAGCGGCCTTTCCGCGGCCATCCGCGCCATCTCTTCGTGTTGGCCAACCCACGAGTCATGAAAAACAAGGAAACTCGGGTCGGGAGTTCCCGTTTCTCCTGAATCGTTGGACATCGCGAGGGCGTTTTCAGAAGAAGAGTCTAAGGCATACCAGTTAATTGGACTTGGGTGGGGGGGGGGGAAGATTCTCCATGATTCGCCATGAGTAGCCGAAAAACAGAAAAGTAAAAAAAAGAAAAGACACGCAGAAACACGCAGAAAATCCACACGCAGAAAATAGGAACACATTCGCAGGACGTTGTAATCACAAAATGGAAGCAAACACAAAGTATTAGCCATTGCGTTAAAGCGCACAACGCAGCGATTGCACTTTGCACCAGTGCACGTATCAAGTTGCACGCCTGCGCGTGCCTGCGTGTGTTTGCAAGCTCGGCAGTTAGTTGGTTTACAATCGATGTACACAAAAAAGGGAAAAACCCAGAACAGAACTCTTACGAATTTTAGCCGAACGATTTGCTTTCAGATTTCCATCAAGTATAGAGAGAGTGTGTCGTATTGTGTAGTCCGAAATCGGAAATCTGAAGTCGGAAATCGAGATTTGAGCGATGGATCGACGTGCCAATAGTATCACCGAAATCCGTGTGGCCTGTTTTATTCGCCAAGCTCGTGCGCGGCAGGAGCTATATCTGCGGATGGGACAGAAACGGGTACGTATTTTTGAAATAGCTATTGCTCATATGTTTCCATAGATGCCTTGTGTGGAAAATCGGTCGTATTGCAGATTGAACAACGAATTAAAAACCATGACGCCTTTGCGGCCAAAGTGAAAGAAGTGTGCGAACATAGTGCTGCGGTTCTCGCTAAGAATCGTCCAAACGTGCGGGAATAGAGTGCCCTGGTTCTGGAAAAGAGGACGCCGTTTAGACTCTCATTTTCGTCATGTGTAAGTTAAGGCAACAGAATCGGCCCTTGTGTTTTACTTTGTTTTAGTTTTGTTACGGTGTCACAGTATAAGTGTCTAAATCAATGTTTGCTTCGTTGCGAGCTACTGGAGCATGGCAATAAACGCGTAACGACAAATTTGGTTTTACGATTATCGACTAATGTTAATTGGCCAAATGATAATGAAAACAACAATGCACAAGCTTAACGCTCAATTATATCGGATAATAAAGGACGTCTAGAACCGTATGACGCATATATTAACGAAATAATATCCTGTACTATTCTGTGCTGTAGCACCAGAGTAGTGTGGCAAATCTAGATACTCTAGCATAGCTAGAAAATCTACAGTTTGTCCTAGTTTATGACCAATAAATCATCTAATTGTTTAGATCCTCTAAAATACAGAAACTGAAAAGACTAGATTATCTAGCAGCTGTACATCGACTGTGCTTTAGGAATCTGTTTCGGTTCAGCTGGTGTGGTCCGTCCTGTGCACTCACCGCAGTAAATCTACCTATTATAGATTATTTCATTTTATGAGATGATCTTTCATCAGAGCGCAACACCGTACGGATCTGTAATACGACAGGCAAAACGCCGTTTTGGCTGTCCGATAATATACTGAACATAGTAACGGACGAGGTTTAGATTCAGATGATCTACATAAAAAACCTACATAAACTAGTACAGATCTACATAAACTGCGTGAAGCACACATGGAAGTTCATCAAACGGCTCAAAAGCTCAGTCATAAACATAAAGCTCAGTCATAAAACTCGATCATAAAAGTTAAGCACCCAAGGTTTCCGTGTCAGCCTAAACCTGGCCAAAGACATGACTCCAATCCACTTCACCCTTGTCACGGTTACATCCAACATCGTCCGGCAGTCTGCGGCTGTCAATTGCCATCAGTTTCCCGTCGAACGTCTAACTCTTCGTCACCGGTGGGCCATTCTGCGTGGTCAGCTTCAGTCGCCGTAAGTGATGGCGGGATCTTCCCAACTAAGAGTTGGTGTTTCAGTGTTTGCTTTAGAGTAACCGTGATTTCCACAAACCGTACGCGCCTGGAGTGTTCAGTTCCAGAAACGACTATGCTTTTGTGGTTGTAGCTATATTCGTTACCATCGAGGCGTCGGTAATTGGCATAGTCAAATGTTCGGTTGCCAGAGCTGAAGCGTCGACCTCTTCATTGTGTGTCAATACCTGGGGCCCGTTGGAAGGTTTCAATTGATCAACGACATAGTACTTTTTCAGAAATCGCGGCTCCTCCTGACACGCGCTTTTTTGCGGTAGCCACAGTAGCTTGGCAAATCTTAGCGTCAGCGGTTCAAGACGTACGAGAAAATCCTGGAAACGAACGCTATATAATGTTCTGCTAAATATGTCTGTAATCGATATCTAAATAGCAGACAATCGATTATCTAAATACAAATAGAAACAAATATGAATCTAGGTATTGCAGATGATCTATATCATAGCTGTCCATCATGCCTACTAGCGTTAAATCAGGTAGCACAGGCTTCGCACTGGTTTCCACACTTGCTGTTGGCGACTGCTTTTGGGTAGCGTTATCTTTGTTCGCAATTCCCTCTCGAACTGCACTCTGCAAAAAGCGGGAAACTTACAAGAACGAAACTGAATTCCAAAGGCGAAGCTATAAGAGCCGCCCTACCTTTGCCCTCGACTTGCCCACGTTTGCAGGTTGACGAGACTTTTGCGTTCGCGTGCGCGCTTTCTCACCCTGCCAAAGTCATACGTTTTAATAAACCGTCAATAAACCAAAAAGAAAGTCTACCTCAGCTGTACGTTTAAACTATTGTGTAAATACTGATTTCCCATAAAAACCATAAAACATAGAATACCCATAAAACACCGAACCGTATCTAATAAATGATTTCACTAAAAACCGAGATCAGTCATGAAAATCGTGCAAACTGTCAGCGTGAAAATGTCGGTTTGTTCGAAATAGATTACCTAAACAGAACAGACTATGAAGTATGAACTGACACACGGTTATCTAACAGAAGTTTGCACATGTGCAGTGCACATGTGCATCCACGAGTGCGCCACGCCCAACAGTTCCAATGGGCGATGCTTAGTTACACCCTTTGCGCAGTATCGATCGTGACGTTGATTTCAGTTTTGGATCTTCGTTTTGTCTCCGGTTATTTTTGAAGCTTTGGTTTTTGAAAGGCTTGACAGAGCTTTCGTTTTCGTAATCCAGATTTGGCATCGTAAATGACATCACAGTAAATCCAGTATCTGCCGTAGCACTGCGCGATGTCTGACAGTCGATCATTTTGCGCGGGGGATCTTATCTTGACGTGTGAGCCATGGGTCTGGGGATTCGACCAGAAAGCCTATGCGACGCACTGTGCGCACTGTTTTCAGGAAAAGAAGGAACTGGCGATATGCTCGGGCTGCCAGCTACACCGCTACTGCAACAAAACGTGCCAAGTGAGCTCAGTATTCTGTGGTTTGCCTTGCTATGCTGCAGTTGTATTAGTAGCCGATTTTAGTAACGTTGCAGAGAGCGCCATTCTCAAGTTTTTTTATTAATTTTCCAGGTTTCTGACTGGAAAACGGAGCACAAATTCGAGTGTGCCATGCTGAAAAAGTTAGGCGGTAGAATGAAATCGCTAAATGTGTCCATCGACTCCATGAACTTTTCCGGGTCCCGTCCCTTGGATCTTATGGCAAAGACTGCATGCAAAATAAAGGTACAGCTTAAAAACCGCAGGTAATTATAATGTATTATAATGACCGATTTGTATAAAAATGGGTTGCATGCTCCGCTTTACGGGCAAGTAGTTTCCATACGTAGTTTCCATACGTAGTTTCCATACATTTCCGTAGCAAATTTCTTCGCTGCTACCTTTAGTAAATGTAATCTAAATGTAGATGTATTTAGTCTACCTAAGAATAAACGAAAGAGATAAGCTATTGTAATTAGTCGCTACATTAGATCATCTAAATCTGATATTTAAATCTAGTTAGACTAGATCATCTAAATTACGGTGCTTTTTAACGTCACTTCTTCTTAGCGTAACGCCACGATGAATCTCGGTGAGCTGGGGCCAGTATCAGCTGTCGACATTTTGCGCTTGTTTCCCACATACGAAGCCGTTGCCACCAGTCGAGAGTCAGCGTAAGTCAAAAAACCAAAAGCATTTTCAGTTTTCGGCAGTCTGTTTTTTACTTTGAGATTATAGATTTCTGCCTAGCACTTACGATTTTCCGCACTTTATTTCTGTTTTTTGTGTTTTTTTGACATTTTAAATTCATTCTGATCATTATGCTTGACGAAGTGTAATTTATTGTATTGTATTGTATTGGTTTAAAGAAACCGTAAAGATCACGGCGTGGATTGTCCCACTAGCGATTTTATCGGAACTATGAAGTCTTTCTTGGGCCTTTCTTCGTCCGAATTCTCCGAATACTACAATATAGCCGGCCACAACGCTCTGGCCATGTTCGACATACTCGGCACGCATCATCCCTTTGGTCACGCGCTGTATCCTCAAGCACCTTTCCGGGCCATGACGCCGGCATGCTGGGATGTCAATGTGGTGTTGAATTTTGTGGGGCGGCGTTTAGTTATCCATGCCACTCAGGATATTCCCAACTATACCGGGCTTCACAATGTAAGTGCCGACCACCGATACAGTCTTGGAGTCGGTCGAGAAACCTGCTGTACTCTGTATGTGTAGATCGGCATGACAGACCTACAGTGTGGTCTTGTACAGACTCTGCATATGCAGTGCTAGGACGTCTTACAATCAGCTTTGTGTTTATCAAAGTATCACGTCCATGATAATATTATGATGAGTACGGAAATGCATTTGGAATTTGGATCGCCGATAAAAGACTTAGCAATCGAAATTATGGCGGGCGACTGCCATGTGTGTAACAATGTTAAAAATTCCTCTGAGTTAAAGTTCGCAGTCGGTACAATTTGAATTGTCCTGGTACGGTACTGGTTAGTGGTCACTCGTCTTGCCCCAGATGAAATGGTGTCAGCCCAAAATGATTCCACTCCGTGTACATGTGCCGGGACTTTAGTGTTAGACGCGGCTTTGCGCTTTCCTGCCTGTTTAGCAGGCTGCGACGGCCGGGGTATTCGCCAAACGCCATCAACAAATACCGGCCAAAACTTTTCATCCGGCATTTCCCATTCTTTAAACGTTTGTTCCGTAAAGAGCTCTGGGTAAGCATTCAACCAGCGGATCGCATCTACCTTTTTCCTTGGATTCCATTTTCTCCATGGAGTCAAAGGCCGGTACATACGCTTGATCGTTTCTGGATGCGGTAATCGCCAGGTGTGAAACTGAAGATTATCTTCACTTGACTTGCCACGTTTCTTGTTTTTCTTTTTCCGTTTTGGAGGGACCACTCCGGTCTTTCGACATAATTTGCTGCCACGATATTTCTCATTAGGACTTGCGCTGGTCATCTGGGTATTGTTGGGTTGTTGACCAGTATATTTCTCTTCAGCAGAACCGGCACTGCTAACGAAATTATCTATATCATCTGCTAGCATTTGCTCCACATCACGCATGTCGTCGCACCGACTGTCCGTTTTGAAACTTGCGTTAGTCTCTTGAAAACCGGCACCTACAGTATCAATTTTCGGTTGCCGGCCTTTGAGCAGCTTACTGAAAAACGTTGATCCAGTATGCATTGGAACACTGGTTATAGGACTCATTTCTGTGGAAGCTGAGGGACTAAGACGTCGCTTTGGCTCGCTTTCCGGCGTCCGCTCTCGCCAACGGACAATTTTTCGAGAGTGACCACTTCTCCGTGTTGCAGCTTGCTGCGAATCCCGATTATTCATCGTATCTTCCGTCTCAGACTGGGAGCACCATGTCAAAGATTCTCCGTCGAGCTGGTGATTACGGGTTCCCAGGTTCGTTTCGTCCGCGGAGTTTTGGCTTTCAGATTCTCCGCTTTGCGGGATATTCCCTCCGGCACACGGTGGTGATGAAGAGGCAGTCGATTCCACTAGCTCTGAGCGACTGGCTGGTGCACGCTCCTGTAACATCATCATTTGGCATTCCATGATCACAGAAACATGCGAGATGTCTCGCTTTTTTTCGATTGCACGCACACGCCAGCTGCTTGCCAAAGTAACGCAGCGAATAATATCATATCACAATCAGTAAACCTTCAAAATCAGAGGAAATACAAAACATCCGTAAATATTGCATACAATTCTAACAAACGTATTGCAATCCAATGCGGCGCGCTAGTGCAATGGCGAACTTAAGTATTGTCAATGCATCTGATGCTGCCGTAAGAATCCAAGTGGTACGTACAATTGTAGACTCATGCATGTCGGCATGCGCATTGCAAGAACTGCAACTGGAGGAAATGGAATGTACTTAACAAGATGCATTTGCCACATGCGTTATGATGCATACTCCTATTTTGTCAATTGTGTAGCCCAGTGCCGGTTGCGTTGCCGGTTAGGCGATCAGTTTCTATAAATAATAGGTGTACGCCGCTCGATTAATAACAGAAGAGATCCTCAGATCGATGATGTGATTATCACATGTGTGCGCTGGAAGCGTGCTTACGATTTACGATAAATAACAATAATATCATGTACTTATTAGTTATTTTGTTCGTCCAGCACAGTAGACTTCACAAAGGGGGCAAGACCATTACCCACCCATACTTCAACTGTGCATGGCGCTATCGGCTGTTCTTTTTACCAGAAAGTCCAGTGCCACCTTTACGAAGTCAATTGTAAACTGCGAATCTTGTAATAATTTTTGTTTCCAGTGCATTGCTTTTTGAATATTGGTTTCGCTTTTCACTTTTCGAGCAGTAAACTTACAAATTAGAGGCATGAAGTAACGCTAACCTTACTCTGTTTCGTCGCCGTGCAGGATTGTAATCGTAGTACCATAACATTTACATTTACATAGTAACTTTGGAAAACTTTCATGTGCAAGGGTTGAAACTGCACATCTTTTCAAGTGAATATGTTTTCCAAGCATGTAAGTCTTCTACTTTTTCGGAAGAACGTGTGCTCACTTAACCCGCGCAGTGGACCCCGTAAGTCATTCATATCTTTTCCACCGGATGTTGGGACCGCAAACCGCATTTATTGCGATCCGTAGAAGTGCCCGCAACAATCAGCTGGTTAGTGGCTATAGAATGCAAGCTAGTCATCTGATTACAGTATACAAATGATATTAACACTTGTTGTGAGCGACGATGCTCAAAACCACGGGGCTTAACGCAAAGGTCACTTTACCACGTCACTTCTCACATACTGTAATTTGCCAATGGCGCAGTCATTTTGGCATAAGAACATTTTGTCGTACAAAGAAATTGTGGCCATTTCCGTAACAAACAACAGACATCCGTACTGCAGGAATGCCAGTGCAGATTCAGGTAACACCAAACGGAGCAACCTTCTGTGGCATCATCGGTGCCCTTCCGTAACAGACAGAGACCCAGTTTACGTTTTGGATGAGTTAAGATACCTTCGCGCCAATTAAAGTGTTAAGGATGGCATCCAGTTTCTTCCCTTCGATGCAGTTGGAATTTCTATTTTTCGGTGCATGAAGCGATTATTGCTGTATGTATATGTTTCCAACTTTTATATAAATTGAACAGTGTCAAGAGCCGAGACAGCTTTAGGCTCTTAATACTCACTAACACGTCTGCAAACAGATGCGGCGTACTTCTTTAGATGCTCGTGCACCAAGTTCGCCATCGCGCTGCTGCATTATTGTGTATTAAGTATTCATAACGTTTTCAAGTAACTTAGCTCTGCCACATACAATGGACGACAAAAAGAAGTTGAACCGGTCAGTCGGTCCGCGGTTCATTAAATAACCTCGCAACGACACGCCACCAGTAAAACTTGGAAGCCTACTCACTTTCTTTGCATGCTACTTTCAGACGCTCGCGCTCCGTGAATATCGAAGTGCAACTACGCTAATTGCATATCAGAAGGTGAAGAAAAAAATTCTTAACTTTTTGATGCTAAACATGTGGCTGTTTATGGCGAACAGCACAAATTCTAGCCATTTTGCTTTCTCATAGACTTAAGCATAGCTTGCAAGCCAAACGGTTTTACACACAGATCCTATGCTGTGCCTACGAGAAAGCAAAATGGCTAGAATTTGTGCTGTTCGCCATAAACAGCCACATGTTTAGCATCAAATTGAGCGTCTGAAAGTAGCATGCAAAGAAGGTGAGTAAGCGTCCAAGTTTTACTGGTGCCGTGTCGTTGCGAGGTTATTTTTGAACCGCGGACCGACTGATCGGTTCAACTTCTTTTTGTCGTCCATTGTATGTATTCATACCGTGCATACGTACAATTTTTTTCCTTGAATTTCGAAGGCCCACTGATTAGTAATCAGTGATTACTTATGCGCTGATATTACTTATGTAGCAATGTGTCTCTATGTAAAATGCATTTGTTAAGTAGCTAAAATAGCTGGACTGTCATGGAAGCGGTGATTAGTAAACACAAATTATTGATGTTCCAGGACTGCCTGCCATCTAGCCATTCAGATCTACCCGAAATGATTGCTGCTTCCCCACCACAGCATATCGCAGAGAATGTACCACAAAGTGGAGAATCTGGTAGCCAAAACTACGCAAATGAAGCGGGCTTGTGTACCCAAGAGCAGCTCAAGAGAGAAACGTCACCTTGGTATTCCCGATTTGGATCGGAGGATGTGATTAATAATACTGATTTACAGCAAGATGCGACAAAGCAAAATTCATATTTTCCACCGCCGGAATGCACGCCCGAATTGATGCCGGAAGTTGGACGAAACGGAGGTGGAGCTTTTTTAGCTTGCAAAGAGGAAAACTTGGAGACTAGTCTCCCTGTACATAACAGGACAACCTTTTTCAGCGCTCTTCTCAAAGACCGACAATCGGGAAGTGATTCTGTGGATGCCGATTCTCAACAGTTTAACGAACTTTTCAGAATAAAGGATCTGTGCGATTCTGAACGTGATGTGAATCCAATGTTAGCAGATGGCATCGTTAATAATAATGATGGTCGTGAAATAGAATACGCACTGCATACGGAAAAGCTTAATGATCAACCAAATAACGCCGAATTATTTAGTCCAAATCTTCCAGAAACGGATAGCAAAATCGAAATATCCCGAGAAATATTATGGGTTCCTAAGAAACGAAAAAGCGTAAGAAAGAGGCATGGAGACTCAACTATTGCAGGGAGTCAACTACTGAGGAATGATGAGTCCACTATTAAGGATCTGGAGTTTTACCCCGGGCAGTTTAGGTATCCGGAAATGTGTAAGCATCTTCGTCGTCCCACGAGTACATGGAAAAAGTGGGAAATTAAGGAGAAGGTGGATGCGATTCGCTGGTTGAAAGCGTACCCGGAACACTTTACGGAAGAAACGCTAAAGGAATGGGAAATGCCGGACGAACGGTTTTGGCCGGTTTTTGTTGATGGAATTTGGCAGTGCCCTCGACAGCCGATATGTGGTAAACCGATAGGAAAGGGCAAAACCGAGTACCAAACTCTGAAAATTGCAGACAGTGTGGACTCAACTTGTAGTGACACCAGTTCATCTGACTCTGAAGCAGAACAGGGAGTTGCAGAATTTCAGGTGTGATCCAGCGATTCGTCGTATACTGTACACATAATGTAATTTACATGAGGATCTTTACAGTTTTAAATGAAATCGATCATCTTAATTTTCGGAAAGTGTTGTGGCACTCATTGCTGCAATCAGAGTGATATACAGTAATTAAACAGATACTCCCATTTTTTGTAGAATACGAAACCTGTGGCAGGCGAAAAGACAGATCAGCTGCCGGTTTACCGGAAACCAGTCAGTCTCCGGGACGCAGTTCTGTAGCTGTTCAACAACATAGCGTACATTTCACAACAGGCAGTCGGTGCAAGCGCAACCGTGATGCGGATGAAATGTTAGAAGGTGTACGCCAACATACACCAGCGCTCCTTAAAAGACAAAAGAGCAAAAAGGAAAACACGCAGGAAACGGAGACTTTTCAATAGTACGCACCGCACCCAGAGCAAAAGCGTTTTCGTCGTTTATCACCTACAACTGCATGGCCAAAGTGGACTATGAATATGAAGGTGCTTGCGGTTCGCTGGTTAAAAGCGTTTCCCGAGCAGTTGAGTGACGAGACGGTAAAAGCGTGGGAAATGCCGGACGAAAGATTCTGGCCGGTTTTTATTAACGGCGGTTGGCAGATTCCTGGTCAGGCGCCGTCTGCTGAACCGACAGAAAAGGATAATATCGCGTCTGGAACACCGAAAGACGCGCAACATGCGGAAGCATTTGGGACTTATGTCATTTCCGTTCAAGTTAAGCAGAGTGTTACAAAATTGCAGGTGCGGTAAATATTGCACTCATGCACACATTTAAGCGGTTCAACGATTATGGGTCAATCCACACAGGGTATATACTTATACGAGTATCGTTGAAAGAAAAATTTAATATAAGAGTTAAGAAAAGTTAAGCCGGTTATTCAAGTATCTTAATGCTTCAAAAGCGACGTTGTAGCTTGTACGGACATGCTGTAATATTTGTATTTAGCACATTCGCTGCAGGAGAATGATGATACTAAGTATCACCATTCTATCTCATCAAAGAAAAGTCTTTTCTTACAGAGCAATGAGTCTACGAGCCTTGAAGATGGACCAGTTGCCAGTTTACCAGAAAACCGTCCGCCTCCAGCCACAACGCAGCTGGCAGATAGTCCTACGTTAATTCGAGTTTGCAATATCTGCGGGCATGATTTGCATTCTGTACAACAAATATATCGGCATTTGAAAACAGCACATTCTATACGCTTATGGTCGCTACGTATACGGCGAGACGCCAAGTGACCTTTTTCCCGCCTGAGACGATGTTCCGATGTTGAATAAGACGCATAATATGTGGATCAACATGTTCGGAACATGTTGATGTATGCGCTTATGACCTTCGAGTTTGTTTCGGAGAGGAAATAAATAATAGTTTATTCCAGAGCAGACAAGCTCTTGGGGTACGAGTACTCACGAAGCCAGTCAAAACATCACGCCGTGCACAATGCAAGATCTTTGGACCATTCGCCTGCGGAACCGCTTCATACGCAAGGACACCGCTTATTGAAAGGTTATTCGCTATCACGCATTGAATAATTAATGTGAACTCGACGGCGTTAACCAACAGGCGGTCAGGCACACAGGTCGCTACAGTTCTGTAGCTTACCATTAGGTTAATTTTTCGTGAGTCTACCAACTGCCGAAAGCAAGAAAAGCAAGTAAAACTACTGCAGCAACCGCATCGTCATAAACGATTGCGCTTGCAAGACTGTATTCCCGCATGGCGGTTCTAAAAATAAATACGTATACACTTTAAACGGCACTTGTACCGCTGTATCGACCGTTCGACGTTTCGCTAGTGTGCAGAAATAGATTATGATCGGCCACAGCACTGAACCGGCAAGTTGGGAACACACTACAGTGGAACCTCCGATCTTGAACACCCCCGAACCCTGAACAACCCCGAACGTTGAACACTTTTTTTCGTACGCGCAGCTCTCGTAAGCTATAACATTGGGGGGGACCTCTGAACCCTGAACACCTCCGAATCCTGAACCTTGAACACTTGACTGCGTACCGCAGTACGTTTTCTTAGTAAAACGGACCTCTAACCGTGAACAGAGAGCGGCTTCACTTGTGTGCGAAACAGCAAAAGCATCCGGAAAGTGGTGAAAGTGTTCACGGTTCTCATGTTATTGTATTAGCAAGTGTTGATCAACTGAAATATACTTAAGGACAGCATAATATATCCTATTATTTATTGGTATACGCGCTAATTTAATATAAATTACCCCCCCCCCCTACTGTAATTTTGTGCGCCCCCCCAGGGGCAGTACTTCTGAACCCTGAACACCTCCAAACCTTGAACAAGATATCCCGTACCGAGAGTGTTCAGGGTCGGGAGGTTCCACTGTATTCATGTGAAAAGTGAAAACGCACATGTATTTTGAAAAACTGATGCACTGCTGTATCTGTGCACGACTACGAATGATGCGACGTTTAAAACGTGTAGGTTTCTTGCGTGTTGTACGTTGTAGACTTGCAGTTCGTCGTCGCTGTATATCCAGCTAAAGACGTAAGTAATTGCGCTTTTATTATACAACGTGCGTAAGTATGTAGCTTAATTCAAATAAGTGATACCATTATAAATTTTCAATTTTGTCATACGAGTAGCTCGTATTTGTGTTTGATCTGAGCGAATCACTGCGCAGCTGCGCTACTTGCGTTTTTAACAGTTTGTCTTTCGTCACGAGGGCCGAGCCGTCCGCGTAATCGCACATTCGAGATAAACGAAGCATTTCATGGATCGCTGTGATTAGGAAGTACGAAATAACCATGTTCCAGAATTGTAACCCATCCAGCCCACCAGAGCCTGGCGAATTGGCTGATTCTCCACCACCCGCCGATCCGGTGAACAACAGTATCGTACTAGGGATCCGGGAGCCTGGACGAGCGTTTAAAAGCCACAATTTTCCGGCAGAAGGGGATATAATTATCCTCGATGGGCAGTTTAACGGCGAATCGGTGGAAGGCGGGCCAAGACGAAACGGAGGCACTTCAGCTTTTAACGAGCGGAATCCGGAAACTGCTTCCCCAGTGCACAACCAAACAACGTTTTTTAGCAAGCTTCTCAAAAGCCAGCAATCGGAAAGTGAGCCTGGAGGTGCCGATGCTCGACAGCATCACGTAAACGTTACCCCAGGCGGTTGGTGCGAGCGCAAACGGGTTATGGATCAAATGTTAGACGGTGATGTATGCCAAAATACCCCAGTGGTTTCTAGAAATTAAAAGAAGAAGAAAAACAAGCAGGTCAGGTTCAATGAAGCGAAGCCTTTCCAGTTACCAAATCCAGAGATCCATAAGAGATTTAGCCGTCCATCGAATTTGACAACTACATGGCCACAGTGGACTACGAGGCAGAAAGTGGATGCGATTCGCTGGATAAAAGCGTTCCCGGAGCAGATTGCGGATGAGTCGGTAAAAGCATGGGAAATGCCGGACGAAAGATTTTGGCCGACTTTTATTAATGGTGGCTGGCACTTTCCCGGGCACAGAACATCTGTCAAGCCACCCAAAAAGGATAATAGAAAGCAATCTGAACACTACGAATACGGTTCCGAATACGAATCCCCGCCTATTTTGTGACGTCATAGCCCTATTCGTTTCGTAAACCTTCCGTAAAGCACGAAATTTAAGCTTTGAATCGTACCGTGTCTCCGGATAGCTGTCGATTCTGCCTGTGTTGATGGAATTCCGTTTGCTTTGGATTTTAAGTAGAGAAAACATTCCTCTATTTTATGAGCCTAAGAAGTTTTTGAAAACCCTTTCACAAGTTAAAACAAATTTTGACTGACATGAGGTATCACAACTGAAATTACGTTAAAAAATTAAACTTGTACGAGTCGTACAGGCAAACGCATCGAGCTCAGCCGACCAATAGGAAAATTCTAAAAGCAGTTGGATCGAGTGGAGCTAGTTAACTTGCAGTCGCCGACTTGGGCGGTTGAGCGCTTCCGGTCTGAGGCAGTTTTTGCTTAACCACTTCGGCCGCGCTACGTTTCGGCCACATGTTGTCACTTCGGCAACATACAGGTCGCCTTACTCACTTCGGTCCGCACTCTGTTCGGCCACCGTTACATGACATTTCGGCTTTTATTTTTCTTGTGTCAAGTTGTTACTTAATATTTGTTGTTGTTAGCACTTTCGTTTTTTTAAAAGAGAAACTATTTTTTTGTCAGTTTTTTTAGGTTTCTTTGGTATCTTTGGTTTTTTGGAATTTATTATACGTTTTGGTATTCTCCTGTGACGAGAATTTTTGAATTATGAGAGGCTGATGGTGAACTGAAACTGCAAGTGAACGTGGGGTAATCTGCGTTCTGTTCCAACAAAATAGTTTGCTTCTTTTTCTGTGTATCAAGTGATCTGTTCATTCTGTTGTCAAGTAACAGAAAACTTATGTTACACACATTATTGTTGTACGTCATTACGCAACCATAAACATGCATGGGTTATCGATATTAGCTGTATCTGTTGGCTTTTTTCCTAATAAAAGTAAGTATTAATGAAATTTCATAAACAGATAAAAGTTGGCAACAGTGCATCGACGCATTCCTGTAACTTCTTACTAGACTGCAAGTTTGCAAATTTTTCAGTTATCAGTAATTTACATTGGTGGACTACAGCCTGAATGTAATGTGGTCGAATGTCGAATGTGAGTGGTGGCCGAAATTAGCGTAACCGAAGTGTAAATGGACGAAATCATCGGTACCAACCGTGTCGGCATTTGCTTCGGTCCGAATGCATAGTCAGATCTCGGATGCGCTTACGAAAACGATTTCAATCCGTGTTCGTATTCGGTTCCGTATTCGTAGTGTTCAGATTGCTTTCTAATACCGCGCCTAAAATCCCGAAAGATGCGAAACATGTGGACATGTCTAATGCCGCAAGTGTGGCAAAGCTGCAGGTGTGGTAAATTACGAGTATATGACACCTACCTTATATATTTAAGCAGTTTGGCGGTTCAGCATCAATTTACATATAACCAAATGAAAACAAAATATATAAAATTAAGCCGGCCATACGTCTATTAAAAGTATTAAAGTTTTGTCACTGTACTGGCTTGCTGAAATAGTTAACGGCTTCGAAAAGCGAAGAATTCTCTTCTTTTTACAGAGCAAAAAATCTGCAAGCCTGGACGACCAACCTGCTGCCAGTCTACCAGAAACCAGTCAGGATCCAGCCAAAACCCATCAAACTGGGAATTACAAGTTAATTCGTATTTGTAATATTTGTGGGCTTGGTTTGCATAGCATAAGAGAATTGTACCGGCATTTGAAAACAGCACATTCTATACGGTTATGGTCGCTGGGCAGAGTGCCCAGTTCCGAATGACAGCGTTTTGTTCGGAGAGTGAAATAAATAATAAATAAACAACAATAAATAAACAATCTTCCCAACGCGACTACACTCTTTTACGGTATTGACCGATGATAATAGGCAATAATTATATTATCAGGCATAATAAAATAGCACGCTCGGATACAAATACATTTGCTAACAGTCTAACAATGGAATGAATACTTCCACGCTTAAATATGAAATTCAATAACAATGCGAAGGTGATCGCTAAATACGTATAGGCGTTACTTTTTGAATTTAGGCTCCTAATTTGCTGCTACATGATGGCTGATCCCGTAAAAAAGATATCGACGACATGTTTTGCAGATGAGGTCATTCTGGAGATACGGCACTACAAGGAGCACCGAGTAACAAACACAACTTAGTATTGCACTTCTACTTAGAAGGTGCAAATTAAAAGCGTCAACGAAAATAGTTGTAGACTTGTCGTTAAGGAGTCAAGGTGCATCCAGTGAACAAAAAAGAATTTTCGACTACAGCGAAGGGAAGAAACTGGACGCTATCATTAACCCACTGATCTACCGGACGCAGCGAACGTATACAACTCAGCCAAAATGCAAAATTGATGTTCTAACGCGGGAGCGCACCGATGATGCCATAGAAGTTATCTCGTTTAGGATCACTTGTCTCTACTCAGGCAATCCTGCAGTACGAATCTCTAATTGTTACGGAAATTATCATTTGTTACGGAATGGAGTTATGTACGACAAAATGTTCTTATGCCCATATGATTGCGCTTTCTTAATTTTAATATGTGGGAAGTGATGTGGTAAAGTGATTTTTTGGCAGGCTGCTTACTGCCTATTACTGCCTAACCGCTCCATCGCGTCGTTGTTCAACGTGTCCAACGGCGGCCATCAAGAGAAAAATCGAGCGCGAGTAGGTTATGCCGAAAACAGTTTTTTCGCTCCATAGATACATAAGAAGAAAGCGTGTTAAGTTAACAAGCGGTACTTCGTGTTAGTAGCTACTGGCTGGTGCCGTATTGATGAGAAGAAGTTATACGCTATTGTCAGCGACTCAGTATTTATGTAATTCACTCGTCTGCATGACTGGGTATACATGTACAGATAATTTCTTCCCACAACGTCCCGATTTATGTGGTAATTTCCGGTAGCCAACGACTTAATTAAAAACGCACTTGCTCGATCCCGATGACCGGATAACGATGACCATGATGCTCGACTGCTTTCGCCTGCGCGCTAGCATACGGTAACGGTATACACTGCCACGACGAAAGCACAGTCCATACAGCACAGTCTGCTACGTCCCTAAAAAGCATTCGTGCCTGTGGGGCATGTGCACTCCTGGCTCTATACCTTACTACATCGTACCAAAGCCGTAACCCTTACTACCTCCGGCTAATTAGCTAGTCCTCTGGTAGATCTTTATCAGCAGTTGTTGTTGTTTATTGAAAATATTGTGTTGTCGTTTAACAAGCCTCATCAAAGTTTTTCACCATCGTGATCAAAAGAAATAAAAAGATAAACTAAAGAATACAGATCCTTTAGTAGTTTAGCTGCTAAGAATACGTGTCCGCTAAGCTTTGCCTGCATCACGCTTACTGTTGTTTCTTCTGCATCTTGCATAACCAGCACGCAACAGGTACTTGTGCTAATGCTGTACTCGTATGGGTTCTCCGCTTCTTGCTTGTCTCAGTTGTATCATATCTAGGTACTTATTCATTCGTGGTGCTTGCACACTTAAAAGCATTTCTTAAGTGCGGACTGTGCGACTAACAATTAATGCCTAGCATTGCTGCGTCTTTAATGCTCCAGTTCAGGGCACGAAGAGTTTGGCTCGATTCAAATTTCAGTGAACAAATCATCATTACAGTTTTAATACCATAAGCCGCGTTGTAGAACAGAAATCTAAGCATGCGCAATGTTTCGTTTCCTATTGGTGCTAATGCTCACTGTTATTTGGTCAAATTTTGACGTTATGGTTTGACGTCACGGGAAGCACGTAAACTAAAATACGTACGAAAAGTGCGTATGGTGTACGCAGAACGATGATCACCCCAACGTACCGAAATACGGCACGCAGTAAATCATTGTAAATTTGGCAACCCAGTTCACAGTACTATACATACACTATGACGAAAGCATAATACAGTACAACCACAGAGACTGGTAATACATAGAGAGGCCATGTCAATCGAATCGCATGTAAAGCCGCGTTCCGCTGTGCCGTTCAGCTTAAGATCCCCGCTTCGAACACGAATATCATTGGCAGAAGTACCACTTTTGGCCATGCGGATTGGCAGTATTTACGTTAATGCGCAATTGTGGTTGGTTATCCAAATACAACCAATCCGCACAGTCCTGTTTTGCTGCATGGATTGGCTGTATTCGAGCACATTTTGAGATGCAACCGCCGTTCGTGGATGGTAGGCCAACGACAGGGGGTCTTAATCTGCACGGAAAACTGAATCACTTGCAAAGTATTGTGTGTCCTCTCTATGTATTACCAGTCTCTGTGGTACAACTGTACAACTACTGCATTTACAACATACAGAAACAGAGAAACAAAGTAACGTTACTTCATGCTTTTAACGAAAACTTTGAAGGTTTAAATTTAAGTACTTGAACTCGAAAGCAATGCGCTGGAAACAAATATGGTACACGGTGCGCAGTTTACAGTGGACCTTAATAAAGGTGGCAACATTGTAACACCCAGTCACCCACGGTCATTTCAAAAAACTGATCCTGAACGGTTAGAAACTACGAATATATTATCTGTATGTAATTTAATTTTTGACATCTTATTGTAATTTTTCACTATATTTACAGATTTACTTACCAGATTATCGCTACGGTTGCAAAAATCGGGTTTTTCTCTTGATAATTTGAAAATACCGTACTTGTCAATCCCATGCAGCTTGGCATTTGATTACAGTACAATTATGAGATTAGGAAATAATGATCGACTCAAAAAGCTGCCACTAATTAAGTTTTGTATTTATGACTGAGCCTTTTTGCTTCATCGTCTGAAAATTAAACGTCTGGAATTTGAGATGCACACAACATTATATTTTAATTATTTTCTAAAAAAACTTGTGGCATCTGCAAATTGCTTTGTATGCAGTTACTTTCCGGTTTTTCATACGCTGGTACGTAAAACATTTATTGACAAAGCCCGAAAGCCGGTAGAAAAGCCGGTTAGTGATGGCTCATCGTACGCTCATCAAAATGGGCAAATACTGTTCAATACCAATCGATGCGTCGGGCCTCAACAACTTGTACGAAAGCTAAAGCACATTGCGTAAAGAATAAACACACTTCCGGAAGCATACGACGAACCAGTGCATCGCGCAATACACTGGCATTTGCACTTTGGGCGATTATTTCATTTATCATCGAAAAAAATCAAACTTTCTGCTTTTCCACCGAATAGAAGTATATATATATACACCGGCCCGGCAGCATTATGAGCACACCCGTTACACCAGACACCGACGCAATGGCTGCCGCTGTCATCGCCCCATTCTCCCTGGCCAACAACCAGTTCTCCCTGGATCTGTACGGGAATTTAATTGCCAGTAAACCCCGCAATGAAAACGGTTTCCTCTCGCCGTTCAGCGTCATGGCTGCACTGTCGATGGTCAATGTCGGTGCCAAGGGCAAAACCAAGCAGCAGATCCTCAAGGCCACCCATCTAGACAAGATGAACGACACCTTTATCGACAGTGCCTTCATGTCGTTGTTCACTCGCCTGGAAGTCCATACCGCCCCCTCAACCGCCCCTGCCACACCCCCCGACGAATGGGCACGCCAGACGCCGTATTTAGCCATCGCCAATCGCGTGTATCTGCAGAAGGGGTTCAGTTTTAAGCAGGAATTCGGGGATGTGCTGAAGAATTTCTATCAGACGACGTTCGGTAAAGCTTGAAATCATTATGTCAAATCATTGTCTTTCAAATCGCAAATCAAATCACTTTAAAATGGAACTGGCCTTCGAGAATTTGAGAGTTTGAAACAAAAGCAAAATATCTGTAATATTATTTAAAATTTAATATTATTTAAAATTTTAAATATTCTGCCATAACAGAAAAAAAAGTAAGTACTCTAAAACCCTTTAAAAAATGTGTTGTGTAATTTCTGATTTTTTTAATTTCATTTCAAATCATTACAAAAACGGCCTAAAACTGTTTTAATTCCACTCCAACTGTAGGTGAGGCGGATTTTGCGGGTAATGCACAGCAGGCGACACGCGACGTCAACCAGTGGGTGGAGAGTGTCACCAATCATCGCATTCAGAATCTCTTCAGCCAGATTGAACCGAGCGTGAAGTTGGCGCTGGTCAGTGCGATTTATTTCAAAGCCGAATGGGAGGACCATTTCCAGAAAGAGATCACCCAGAACGGGGATTTTTTCGGGGAGGGGAACACCTTCAAAAATGTACCGTTTATGAAGCAGACTGATGACGAAGCAAAATTCGCCAAATTGGCGGATGTGGATGCTACCGGCTTAATTAAGCCGTACGCCCACGGAGCTGTCCACATGCTGTTCATTCTGCCCAATAAGAAGGACGGGCTGGCCGCGCTGGAGAAGAAGCTCCGCCCCGCTCACTTTGATATCAGCAAGTACCAGAGGGCGGAAGTGGAGATCACGTTGCCCCGGTTTAAGATCGAAAGTGATTTCAACCTCAATGCTGCTTTAAAACAAATTGGTATTGTCGATGCCTTCCAGGATAATGCCGATTTCAGCGGGATTTCCACGCAACCACTGAAGATATCAGAAGTGGTGCATAAGACATTTGTCGGTATGTACAGTAAGAAGAATCGTTTATGAACATGCAATTGACAAAAATTCTCGTATTTGAAACTGGTTCATTTCAGTATATGTAAAATTAAGAAACTTAAGGCGGAGTCTGTAGAAAATGAAGTCACGAATTTTTGTTAACTGTACGGTTATGTAATGTTTCAGAGGTCAATGAGAAAGGAACCGAAGCGGCGGCAGCAACCGGCATGAAAATGGTGCCGTTATCGGCAGTATTCTTCCCGGAAGATATGAAGAAAGTGTTCAAAGCTGACCATCCTTTCTTGTTCGCCATCCAGCACCGCGAAACCGGCGCTATCTTGTTCATCGGACGCGTGTCCAATCCCAGTCCCGCCTAGAGATGGCTGCACTACTTTTGGTGAACGAGTAAGGGCGAACATTCTCGCGAACACTGTCTTTGGCGCAAATTATACAGCTTTTTTTATTTGTATCCCCTAAGGAGTTGTTAAGTAATTTTGCCGCAATTAATTCTGCCGCAATTTGACCAAATCATCTTATATTATCACCTGCCGCGGTCAGTATTTTTTTTCTTTACTGATAGTGAGTAACATCCATAACGCAAACCCGTTACAGATCCATAATCTCGCTTATTGTCATCATTGTAAGCTACAGTAATCAAGAGTTCATCATTCATTGCTCTCGGATGCGGTGCTGAATAAAATTAAAACACTTTCTCTTAGAGTTAGGTCGTCGAATTGTGCCTAGAAACCTTTATGTACTGCACTCACATTGACGTACGCAGAAAAGATATAGGCAGGCAAGTACGTAATTTGTAATTACATATAATTTAGTAACTGGCGTAAACGCCTAAACGGTAAAAACCTTTCGTTCATCGAAACAAATCTTGTACAACAAGCTTTTGTTCTACATCTTTCCAGTTTGTTACGCACGACTTCTGATGTTAAGCATACGATTATGTGTAGGTAAACGATAATTATGCTGTCGCGTTACAACCCTTTGCTTGTAAAAGTTCTCCAAATAATAATTAATAATTTATTTGTATAGGTATATATAAAAGCGAAAGCTTTGTTTTAGGAAAAGAGACTGAAAACTTTCATTGGTCATACTGAGATCGTGAAGTTTGCTCATGCATGGTAAAGGGTAATTTGCAAATCTTTACAATTTTCGTCACATCTTGACGCAATATTCAGTTTAATCAGCGTGCTTCTAGTTTTCGGGTACTGTGATAGTTTTCTGAAACGCTTAGTTGTAGATACTGTATATACACTGTTACTAATCAGAACGTTTTACGTCCAGTGAAAATGCTGACAGTCATCCAGAGGCTCAAACCTTTTACAACAGTCGCAACGCTAATTCTGGTGGCAGCATTCCCCTTTAGGCAAAATATATCGGACTTGCTGCGTCATCATCCACTGTTTTTCATCACTAAATCGCAGACGCATTATGGCCAGTCTGTTGCGAAAAAGGCTGTGCTATCACCGGAAAGTAATGTGCATAGTCTGATTGTATTTGCCTTTAAAGACACTCCGAACGCACGTATTAATCTGGAGTTTTTCCTCCGGCATGGCCTGCACAATCAAGCCGATTTTGTCTTCATCATCCAAGGCGGATTCAACGGCAGCTACATGCCACCCATTCCTGCAAAGCCCAACATCAAAGTTATTTTGCGCAGTAATACCTGTCAAGACTTAGGAGCTTACAAAGAAGTCTTGACTCACAATGAACTGTACAAAAACTATTCTCGCTTCATCCTACTAAATGCCAGTGTCCGTGGACCTTTTTTACCGTTCTGGTCGCAAAACTGTTGGAGCGATATATTTTTCTCACGGCTGGTTGGAAAGGTCAAGTTGGTGGGTACGACCTTTAGCTGTATTCCGGTACGACATGTTCAGTCGATGGTGCTGGTGACGGATCGTGTTGGTTTGAAAATCATTCTACCTATCTTAAAATGCTTTAAGAACCACCAAGAAGCTATTCAAAAGGGTGAAATTCGTCTTACTAGCGCAGTGTGGAAAGCGGGGTTTGACGTCGACGTGCTGATGAATGCATACCGGGTGGGAATGATACAATTCAACTGTTCGTACAATGATCCGAATTGGGAAGGCTGGTATTTCGGAATTAACATCAACCCATATGAAGTCGTATTTCCCAAGGTTAACCGTAACGTTCAACAGAAGCTGATAAATTTATATACGGATTGGCACTACAAGAGTAATTTCAGTAGTTATACACAATGTTTGTGATACTATGAAGTCTGTGAGTTTCGTATCTGTGAGTTCTGCCGGTTGTGATACTTGAAGTTGGTAGTATATAATTATTATGTAAGTAAAAGTCGGGGCCAGATGCCCGAAAAGAATTAAATCTATGCTACCAGTAATAAATGTAACGGGGGATTCCTGTCTCATGTATTAGTATGTACGAGTATGTGCTTGGTTGTCCCGCCTCTTGTATTTCCTATTCCTGTACGAGCGGTTCAGTATATATAGCGTTGTATTTCCTGCGGTATCTTCAGTCGTTGGGTTAGCAATATTTCGAGCAGTATCAGCCGGTTCCGTTGCCCGTTATACTTGGAGTCGCATACCGAGAACGGAATTTTTTTAAGTCGACAGTTTCAGTGCCCTTTAACTTTTACCACCGCTACCCCTCCGCCTCTCTGTTGAACAGTGCCTTTAGCCTTTACCACCGCTACCCCTCCGCCTCCCTGTTTCAACAGGTAAGTCCTTATGTATCACGTCCAATTTTTTTTCCCAAAAAGAACAATCTTAACTGTTACCGATCCTAATACTATTTTCGAATTCCGTATTAACGCGCCATTTTTCAAAAAAATTTAATTAACGATCGTATAGTCAACTTTCCGCAGTTGGCAGGCTGTTTGCAATAATTAATAATTACTAATTACCAGCAAGTCAATATCATGGCTCTAGACCCGCAAGCACTGCAGAATATTCTTAACACCGTTAATGCCGCTGCCGCTCAGCAGAATGCAGCTTTACAGCAAAGCCTGCAGAATAACGCTACTGCACATCAGAATTTATTAAATTTTTTGAATAATCAAAATGCCGCTGCAGTTACCCGTATAACATCTCTCGAATTGGGTGATTTGCCGAAGTTTGGTGGTTTTTCTTACGAAGACGCTCAGGACTTTTTAACACAGTTTGAGACGATGGCCGTTGCTAATAACTTCACACCAGCTAACAGAATCCAACATTTTGCGCTCTGTTTGAGGAACAACGCTCTTAGCTGGTATACCGCAGAACCAGTAGGTATCACATGGCCAGACCTTCGATCCCATTTTTTAACAGCTTTTGGAAAAACCCGTTTTGAACTCGATCTCATGAATGAAGGTTGCCGTGCACTAGCATTTACAGATCCTCGTACTTTTGTCCATCGTGTCCTTGATTACGTGGAAGCCAGTAACCCCGCAGCTACCGAAGCAGAAAAAACAGTTCGTCTCTTCGAAGCCTTGCCCCTTGAATTTAAACCGGCATTCGTGACTAACAGCCCCAGAACCGTAGCCGATTTTTTCAATCGTTTACGTGATGTGTCCGTTAAACAACAATACAAGCTCGCGATGCAGAATCAAAATTCGTCATATCAGGCGTCCAATAATGTTGCAGATCAGTCAAATCTTTTGTCGCTATACAGCCAACCGACAGCGCCCAGCTCTAATCAGATAGAGATTGTCGCTCATAACCTGATGAAAGGTTTGGATGAAAGACTGAAGCATCTTGCTGAACAAATAAAGTGTTTACAGGAGAATAACGAATCAGAGGGCAGTTACGATCTTCTCAGAATTACTTAACGGGTAATGCGAACCGGTTAACCCTTCGACTCACAGATGCGCCAGGCCAGGTTAATGGATTTTCTAATTGCGGTAACTATGATCATCTTTCGTATGCTTGCCCGTTTGGAGGTGGCCACTCTACGCAGGCACAGTATGCACAGGCACAACAAGATTCTGAAGATCGTTATCTGATGTCATTCGGTGTAGCACAGCATCCGCCAACGACGCAGCAACTGGCTTTTAACATACCCGGTAAATCAACATTTCAGGCGCAACAGTTCAGGTCTGCAGAATCTGAGGACACCGGCAGTGCACAATCGGCGTATTCGAGATGGCAGATTTAACTTTTCTGGTCTAATTGTCATTCGTACGTGAAAATTTGTTTCGGTATTGTAAACTTATGTGCTCTTAAACTTTTTGTTGGTATTTGAATATTGGTTTTTATTAGTGATGCCTGCCCGTTGTTTTTGAAGGCTGCAGCAGTATTTATTGTTATTGAGAAAAGGGCAGATGAGTGAGAAAATGTTTGAGGTTGACAGCGCTGATTCGCTGAAATATTAGATTTGTTTGATGATGGCCAGATGTGAAAAGCCTCGCGATGGTAACGGTAATGGTTAATGTCAATGTAATGTGCAGAAATCGATTTGGGATATATTTAAATTGTTTTCGCATATGCGCAGCACAGCTTAAATCTTATCTATCATTAATTTTCCGCCGCTGGTTCGGCTAATGACATAAAATGCCAGATGTTGTCGTCTTCTTTTTGCGCAGTCAGAGGTCGTTAATGTCAACTTAAATTATAAAATTTTCAATAAAATCATCAAATCCAGATGTACCATCATTTAAAGTTAAAAATAAATTTCAACTCTTCGATTTCAACGAAAATACGATCATAAATCTTAATATCAGCGCGCACAACACATGACGGCATACTTGGCACAAAAACATAAATATTATTATTCGAAATTCCCATTTACTGGTACGGTTATCTTATGCTACGGCAATATGCGCATTGATTTTGGGTACAGACAATTATGAATGTTCGCATCGACTGTAAAAATATAACTGATTGGTTCGATTTTGAGATTGTGCAAAGTGTATGGTAACAATTACGCGCGCTTTAATGTAAAAAATAATTCCGCCGAACAGAAGACGCAGCTTGATCACCACTGTATACCACGGCAGCTCAAGTAAGTATTTGTGTTAAATCGAATCACGCTAATTACGCAAAATAAAATTAAAGTAGATCTACGAAATTAAGAAGATCACTAAAAATTTATGGAAAAGGGCTTTGCACGAGCAAATCTATTTATATTCGCACATATACGGGTGCGTGCTATAAACGCCCATCCTTGTTTTGTTGCGTCGTAATCTATTTTTTCGATCATATAGACGGGCCACGGCTATAAACGCCTGCCCTTGTCCGTGCCCTCTGTTTCTATTGTAATTGTGTTGTCATCCAGGTGCGCCTATAAACAGTCCCTGTTGGTCTGATTACAGTAATAAAGCCCTCGAGATCCTAATAATTAAATGCGTAACATGTCAGCAAGTCGTGTGACTCGAAAAACAAACGATCGCATCATTCAGAACAGTAAACAGCTGTTGGGATTTTGATTACGCAACCGAGCTCGCCTGTTGGTAGACTATCACAACAACTGCTGCATAGCGCTTCTGAGTGTAAGTATTTCATTTAGTTCCAATTTAAAAAGTATAATAAAAATTCGTATGTATATATTTTATGCGCATATTGCGGTAAGGAAAAAGGGGTGTCCCTTCCTTAGTACGGGTATAACAAAATTTTTGTTCTGAAGTCATGCATTGTTTGTTGTTCTGCTGATATTGTTTTGGACTTGACTTTGAGTCTGCAAATAACTTTTCATAAAACTGCAGATGGCGGCAATATAAGTAATTATCAACGTGCTTTTCAACGTTTT